CTTAAATAGCTTAATACTCCCTCAGTACACTTTAATAAAGTAAATAGTATTGATACCGTACCAAAAATCTCCTACTTTTTTAAAAGCGTACAATAAACCTATAAATTATCTTAAACTACGTGAAAAGCCTATTGGCACACATATTACAATATGGAGGGAGTAATAATCATTCAAGGAAGAAAGAAAAAGCCCAAATCAATATTGATTTTCTTATGGTATTATGGCACACAGGTTCACTGGAAAGTGAGGCTGGCATCTACGCAATGACATATGATGTCACTGGTTCAAGGCTGATTACCTGTGAGGCTGATAAGACCATAAAAATGTGGAAAGAGGATGAAAATGCTACACCGGAAACTCATCCTCTTCATTTTAAGCCCCCTAGAGATATTCGTCGCTTCTGAATGATTGTGTTCAGACCGGGGGTGCCACAAGTGACCTCTACTGATTCCAAGAGAATTAATATTTTGTAACCTGTTTTAGCTTTGCTGTTATTGCACAAAATATATACTGCATGGAGAAGTACAATCCAAACTATGTAACTACTCAGTCAATTTGCACAGTTATGATTAAATTTTTGTTTTTGTTTAACTGTATTTTAGCTTCTACAGTTCTACAGAATTAAATATTACTACGTATACCTTAGGAATCTGCCAGTTAATGCATTCTTCAAAGTTTTATTCACCACACCATAGGTCCATAGCTATTACATTATGTACTACAATAGCACAATCATATTTCTCTTATCCGGTCATCTTTACTTTTCCGATGCATTTCTAAGGGAGCGATTGCTAGTGATTTTACTTTAAAAAGTGACCTTAAAAGTGATTTTATTTTAAAAAAGTGTATGAAAAATGTGATTTTGAATAAGTAAAAGTTCTAAGGGAGCGATTGTTAGTGATTTTACTTTAAAAAGTGATCTTAAAAGTGATTTTATTTCAAAAAAGTGATGGACAGCATGTAAGAAAAATATGATTTTGAATAAGTAAAAGTTCATATAGCTTGAAACTTTGAATGATACTCCATCCGTTTTCTAATACTTGTTTCTCTTTTCATTTTGGGTTGTTTTTTAATATTTGTCTCTCTTTCCATTTTTGGGAAGTTTTTTTCAATAAATATACTCATTTACCATCATTCTCTTTCCTACTTTTCATTTAAACACAACTCACTATACCTTTTACACTATTTCTATTATTTTCCTCTTAAAACTTGTGCCAAATTTTATAAGGACAACTAATGGAGAACGGAGGGAGTATAATATTCTTTTGTCTAATAGAAAAATTTTGTATAAAATGTCACCACTTGCATCAAGCTGAGTAGAAATTATCAATTGAAAATACCAATTTCAACTTTTTAAAGCTAAGAGTGAAAAACACTTTTTAGTATATAAGTTTATAGTTCTCTCTATTGTGTATTTAGGCGTGGATCGGTTCCGGGCCGGTCCAAACCCGGCTTTTTGTTTATAGGTAAAGGCCCGGAATCAGCCCGGGATTCCGGGCGGGGTCGGGCTCGGGTCGGGTTATATAGTTTTTTATTTAGCTTTTCAAATTAATTCCAACCCCCCACCCCCTCCCCAAAACACCTGGCCCAACCCGCCTACCACAAAAAAATTGGGCCCGGACCGGGCTGGTACCAAAGGAGGTCCAGCCCGGAACCACCCCCAAACCCCCCGGGCTGGTCCTAGGCCCGGAACCGGTCCTGCATAGTGGCGGTCCGGTCCGGTTCCCGGGCCGGTCAGACCGGAACCGGGCCACCCCTATGTGTATTTCAGTATTTGTGTGACGTGTCAAGAGATAATGTCTATGATTAAAATTGTTTCTTGAAGCCAAAAGTTATACGTGAAATAAAGAGTCTATATAATGTCTTGAAATGTGTTGTACAAAAAAGATCACACAATTGTAAGCAAATTTATGTAAATGTAAAAAATCTACTAAATCTCATATTAATATAAATAATACGGAGTACTACCTCCGTAATATTGGGATGTTCCCATTTGAAAAGTAGGTAGATTAAGAATAATGAAAGGAGATATGTATTATTAGGGGTATGATGGGAAGATTGTGAAATAATGTGATAGAATGAAAGATAAATCCAAAAAAAGTAGATGTAATAATGTATTATTTTTAAAATTATTGAGGGTGTGATGAGAAGATTTAGAAATGGGAATATATTAGTGTTATGTCCAAAAAAGGAAAGTGGGGAGATATTTACGTTACGGAGGTAGTATTATGTAAAATGTCTTACAAACTCATAAATGAATAATGTAAAAACTCTTAAAAAGCTAAGAAAGTTGACAAAGTTGATGAAATCTACTTTATGTTTTTTATTTATTTTCCTTTTAAGCAGATAAGGGCCATGACTACGAAAATATTAGTAGGCATGTTACGGGCTCTTTAGTGAGCACGTATGCCACGCTACGCTGAACGATTTATTACTTTTATTTAGTGTCTGCCAGATACTCCGTAGTTATGGATTTATTACTTTTATTTAAGTAGTGTTTGCGGTTGCTTAAAAAAAGTGCTTTTCAGCTTTTGGCTTTAAAAAAGTTAAAAAGAGTGTTTTCAAATGACAGCTTCTGCTTAAATTAATCACTTAAAAGCTAAAAGCTGGAAGCAGGTGGAAGGGTGCTTTAAACTGCTTTTCACGTTTTCTATTACACAAAAAGTACTTATTTTACCAAACACTACCAACTTTTACTTTTTCAGAATCACTTTTTTCTCAAACACTACCAACTTTTACTATTAATCACTTTTCCCAAAATCACTTTAAAAATCACTTTTTTAAAGTTGAAGCAATTGCAAACACTCCCTTAGTGTCTGTCACATACTCCGTAGTTATTAAGATCTTGGAGTATTATATGGACAAATTGCTCTTCATAATATTGAAATGAGAGAATTCATTAAATAGGAGTAAAAACGTTTTAAAATTTCAAAATATGAGTATCATGTTTTTTATTTCCTTAATAGAGATAAATTTTTGCCAAGTTTGGTATTACAAGGCTTTTAAACATGACATTTTATTTTTCAAACTTGACAGATTACTCCTGAGAATAAAAAAATGATACTCCTATTTTAGAATTTCAAAACATTTTTAGGACAATTTCTGTATTAAAATATACTACTTTGCTCTAACTATATTTTTATTAAAATTATTTATAATATATAAATTATGTAAAAATGTTTTTTAGTTAAAAAACATTTGGAAAAGTATAAAATTTATAACTTGCATAATATTTTGAAATAATTACATAAATATGACCAAAATGAAAATAGCTTAAAAAACTAGTTACTAAAATAATAATGAAATCATAGTAATTCATGTTGAAGTTTTGAACTTAAGTTACCCTAACACTACGTTGTAGTAATTAATAGTCATATTTATGTAAATAAGTTTTATTTTAGTAATATTTTTGTAAAACCCCTAATATTATACCAATCAAAATCATGATCCGACCAAACTTATATTTTATTGTGATTACTTATATTTTTTGGATAAAAATATGATTGATCACTATGTATTAGTAACTAGACAAAAGTCACGATAGTGTATTTCATAGTTTATTTTTGTTAGCCCGTAACCACAAGGCATGCGTACTCGTGCCCTGCGGATACCTGTAAGTCCTCTTAACAGCCAAAAGGTGAGTAGTACGTGGAGCATGCATAAACTGAGACACAAGGTGTGCAACATAAGTAATACCAGGTATAATAATAGTTAAATAGTGAAGAGCATCTACCATATTGCGATACTCAATAGTGTTAGATAAAAGTTTCCCATCTGTAAGAGAGAGTGTGGTGCTTGAAGGTAGGGGAATACGAACAAGTTTGACAGTATGAAGATGGAAATGGCATAACAGATCCGATATATATATTTAACATGTGACAAGAATAGACCCTTAGGTGTATGCTTAGCTCGAAATACTTAATTGTCTGTCAGTGCCAGATCAATCCATGATGGTAGCAGTAAACTCCGACGGCAACATTGATCTCTAGCGGCAACGGTGAAATTCCAATAGGTCGACGGACAAATTATGGAAAACATCCAGCAATGGTCTGACGACGAAGGTCCGGCGATCCGGGGAGCACCGGTGCTCCAGCCCTTTGAGAGTATACATGGTCCAATCACAAAAATAATTCTATTTGAGTCATTTTAAGATTTTTAATATGTATTTTAAAAAAATATACTTCTTCTGTATTTAAAAGTCCACTAGGTTTGAACATATTATTTAAGGATGAAATAGTAGGGATAATGAGTAGTATAGAAAAAGTATTAGAGAGTGGAAAAGTATAAAAGAGAAGATAAAATATAGAAAAAAGTAAAAGTAATTGAGTATTTTTAAAGGAAAAAACTTACCAAAAGAAGAAAGTGTTGCAAACTTTTAAATGCATTCAAATGGAAAAGTGTAACAAACCTTAAAATACAGAGGGAATACGATTAATTCCAAATTGTGTACATATATATTATGCAAATTATGATATATTTACGGTATAAATTATTAAATATTTTCCCGTCTCTAAAACTTAGTCAAGTAATAACGACACGGTAATTAACAAAGTAAAAAAATTGTGATTTAGATTTGTGCAAAAAATGAGAATTAACTGGAATTAGACTAAACTAATTTGTTCTAATTTATACTACTGTTTATGAAAAAATTAGCAAAAAGGCCACATGGCCTCAAATAATTAGATGTAAACCGTTAGTTACTAGATGTAAATTAGAAATGTTATTATACGGTTGAATTTTTTAATTATCCTCGCGCGTAGATTAATCTCCCTTTAAGTGAGCTACGTGCTCTCTAATGAGCACGTGACGTGCTTCTTAAAATTTCTCGCCATGACTAAGGATGTTTCTTTTGGACGAGAATTTACTAGCATTATCTGGTCTGATCTGATATGATATAATCTGATCTGATCTGATAATGTTTGGTCTTTGTGTATTTTAAAACTACGGAAGTCTGACCTAATAGGTGGTCTGATCAGGTCTAAGATCGAAAACCTTCCAGAAGAAAACATGCCAGGTCCCAACACAACTTTATATGGCTATGAATAGGAAAGTTCTGGAGTTCCGTGATTTTTCCGTTTCTCATAAGTCGATTGTGCCCTTCTCCTTGCTTTCATTTCTTCTTCAGCTCCAAGCTAAAATGGTGGACCCAAAAACTGATAAGCTGGTGAGAAGGACGACTATGGTGGCTACTGCTGTGGCTTCTTATTTCCTCCTCACTGCAGATTATGGCACTGAACCAAGTGCTCTTGATCCTGTAAGCCCCTCCTCTGTTGCGTTTAATTTTCGGCATATACGTGATTGCTCTTTTTTCATTTTGTGTAGCTAATGTTTGCCTGAATTTTAAGCTAGTGAAAATGCAATACAATTTGCTCAATTCAATTGTATACGTGATGACGTTTATAATTGAGAAACTAGGTATTGTAACTTGTAAAGTTATACTTCATATATAAATACGCTTGTTCAGTGTTTTTTAGCTCTGGAATTGGTGTTTGTGGGAACTTTTGGTAGTCATAAAGTTCTGTTCTCTGGATTTTCCTTTGTGCACTTCGAACCGCTTTTGTGGGGCTTATATGAAGCTATGTCGACTTGGATGACTGTATCTTTTAGAGACAGCGTCTAATTAGACTCTTAAGTTAGTAACTATACAAGATTGTTGAAAGGAAAAATCACTCCGGGAGGAGCAGGGAAGGGTTCATGACTTGCTGCCATGTCTATCACATTAATGAAATATTATTACTTTATCACATATGTTTGTGTTTTGTTATACATAAAAGCTATCCATTCAAACTAGGAGCTTTTCTAGCCCAAATAACATAGTTTTTGCCTAAACACTAAAAGCTGAAAAGGCTTTTAAGGCTGAATAAGATGTAATTTGTTTTAAGAATATTCATATTGGAAAACCTTCCAGAAAAGGGAAAGTAGATGAGGGTAAATTTGTAACTGCAATTTTACCTTTACATTTAAGTTGCATATCCTATACATGTTGGACTCTGGAGACTGTACACCAAACCATTTTGGATTATCAGGTCCAGTCATGAAGTTTTTTCTTGACCAGCACAAAACTGGACTAAGGTTGCAGCCCCTATTATAAATAGTCACTTGCATGTTGTATTGAAGTGGTGGGCATATTGGTTTTGGTTCGGGTTTTATCATTTTTTCAGTTTAGTTTGAAATGAATGAGATGAATGATTATCAAACAAAAACCATACTATGTTTTGATTTGGTTCGGTTCGTTTGGTTTGGGTTTGTTTGTTTTCAATAACACATGAAGATTTTATTGATTTTTTTTAGTTCTGTTCAGTTTTATTCAATTTTCCTGGATTTCGGTTCGATTCTGTTTAATATGTTTTTGAAGAAATGAAATCAAACTCAAATCGAATTGCATATGGTTTGATACGGTTCCGTCAAACCGAACCAATATGCCCACCCCTATTGTATTGTGTATCTCTTGAGAAATCAAAGATGAACTAAAAGTAGTATACTAGTCGATCTTGGGATGTTTTTACTTGGATTGTAATTTGATGGTCTGGTCTGATCTGGTCTGGTAATGTCTGGTTTTTTTGTATTTTTTTAACTATTCTTTGCAAAATTAGTGCTTTTTTTGGAAAGCAAAAATAGTGCTTTTCTTGGAAAGCAAAAATAGTGTTTTTTTTTGGGAAACATCCAATTTATGGGATTTCGAAAAAAACTATATTGTTTGGTTGAACATTCCTTATATCTTATCCCATTTGTGTTTGATCAAAGATCATGTATACCTCTAATTTGACGTCACCTTGTCTAATACCAAACCTCCCTATACAAAATGAATGTTATTGGTTTCAAATTCATGCTTTCTCGTCTAAATGAAGCCTCGACCTTCATATTTGCATATTGTGTTGGAAAAACTTTTGAAGTGATCATAGGTTCATCTTGCTAATGAAGTTTTATTGGAAATTTTTAGACTATCTACATTGTGCTGGTTGGAAATTGTTGCCCTTCTCTTGTTTGCATTTTGCATGAATTGTAATATTAACTAATTTTAATCAGTAAGTTGAGTAGTTGACCCTAACTGATAGTCTTCTCTCTTGTTTGAATGACAGATAAAAAACGCAATACTTTCAGCAGAGCGTTCTATGAAGGACTTTATCTTTGGATCAAAGGACAGTGTTCAGAAAAATGAAGCCGAGAAAGTCCCAAATGTTACAGAGAAACACTGAAAGTTTTTATTTTATAACTAGCTAGCATTGCTTATACAAGATTTTGGTTTGTTAGATTTGGTGCCCAGAACTTTTAGCATAACAACCTTGGTTCCTTTTTCACTTGTGCAGCAACTAAATTAAACATTAAAAAAAATTCAGGTGCATACATAGGTATAAGTAATCTGCTAAGCAAAGGATGTAAAAGGACACATCCTTTAAGTGATTGTTGTTGCACGATATCACTTACATGATGAAACTGTTCAATTATCCCTTTTAACCTAAAAATCTACTGAAACCTATGCCTAATGCATAATAACTGTAATACATTATGATTTGTGGACCATCAAGATTCAAGAGGTTGGTCTCATGTTGCGTCTGCACGGCTGCACCCACTTCTTTTGCGATCCTTAATCGACACGAGGTAGTGTCACTTGAGTTTGTGCCTAATGAGCATCGAACCATTAGAATAGAATTCATCATTTGTTGCTATAAACTTTAGGTTGAATCGACACTCAACCTTTCCATAATCGACCTCGAGTGAAAGAGGGTTTTGCCCCCCTCACTGCTCACTCAGACAATTAATTCTTTGTGGTGACAGATGAGGACCTAGGTGAGTATGGGGCTAAGCGCCCCTGCTTCTGGTCTTGAAAAATACGTAGTAGTATTAGTACTGTGCTCACATATTGTGTTGTACAAGTATTTGGAAAGAAATAATGTTGCACCGAAAAAAGTATACTACTCCGTATTTATTATACAAAAACCAAACTCAAAGCATTGTTTTGACATGAAATTTGTTTTTAAGTAGAATTTAGAAATGACGTTATTTTTGGATTGGATTTCCATGATGTTGAGATGAAGCGTCACACTATCATTATATCACATTTATACAACAAGACATTGATTGAATAAATTTATAAGACATATATGGATTGATAAAGGAGTCATCAGTTAAGGTTGAAAAATGTTTTCTTCATGGAAAAGTCTATTTGACATATCTTGTTTTCTTCATATTTTGATTAAAAGGGATGCATCTATTAGGATTAGAAAATATTTATCTTCGTGTATGTTGAAGACCTATATGTTAGCTTTCTATTCACATAATAAAGCTTTTAAGGGATGACCCTTTACCAACTAGTAGAGCACCTATCAACCGAATACTAATAATTCTAAGCATACTTTAGACAAAATAAAGTGACCCTCTTAACCAAATCATGGGTTACTATGTACAATGACATATACGTAGTACTATGTATAAGGCAAACATATCTAGAGTTAGACAAGAGCAATCACGAAACTATTTTTATTCTTGATAATCAGAACTTTCCTTTTATCGTCAACTGAAAGAATGATAATGTGTAATATAAAACTGATAAAACTGATTGTGCATATAATATACATATCATTTTAAAAGGACATAAACAATTGGCAAATGTTGAAGAACTATAAAAAATGACATGTAACGAGTATATAATACTAGTAGTATATTTCAAAGTAACACGTCAGTGATATATGATATGTCAGTGAAAACTAGTCACTAAATATGTCAATTTTTTGAAAATTCTAAAATAGAACATACTTTCATCTTTTTTTTGAATTTAATTTAGTAATATTAATGAAAAAAGTCACAAAGGAACAATTCTTTGAAAAAGATCAAATACAAAAGGAAATAGACAGCATTTATAAAAATTGAGTGAGAAAATATAAAAGCAACAGAGTAGTATAATTTGCAATGTGCCCAAATATGCAATCCCCTTCAAACTTTTGGAGCGTGATGAGATACAACTAGAAATAGTCCGTTAACTTCTACCATTCATTTCAAAATTTTCGTCTCCCTCCTCTTTTACCTCCTCCCCGCTTGCCTGCTCCACTCTGTATCACGGCACACCGACGCGGCGGCGAGAGGAGGCGGAGATGTCGATAGTCAAAGTACCGGGTTCTCCAAACCACGAGCTGGAAGAAGAGGTTAAACAAATGGCCGCCAAACTTGCAGACCTCCGGGCCACGGTTCTGGATCAGCTCAAGGCCACTCGAGCTTCTCTTCTTGCTGCTAACGAACCCGTTCAAGATATGCATTTCGATTTCGGATCCCGACACCTACCCGGACCCTCACGCCTACCTGGCTCTGGTACGCCTCCCCCTAGGGTTTTTAAACTTTCAGATTATATGCACTTGTTCGCAAATTATATGCAGCCTTTTGGTGGTGTTTGCATGTGTAAATCCTCTTAGCTAGTAATTGAATTGCACTGCTGTATTGATCTGGTGCGAAGAAGCCCAGACGTTATTGAGTAATTGCATGTTTTGTTTCTCGGAATTGGAATTTTTCTTGCTACAGTTAAACAGAAAGTAGGAAATTTTGTCAATTCTTGTGGTAATTTGCACTTCATAGGGCAACTCTTGCTCTTGTAGAGTACTGAAATATCTGGTTGAGGAGTTCCATCGAAATATAGCAGTACTTGTTGATAAAATTTGGAATTTTAGGGCCTGTTTGGATGGTAAGGGTTGTTTGGTTGCAATGATGCTAACCTGTTGGATTTTCTTGAACAGAGAATGTTTGGTGTCTCATTTTAGCCAAATTATTAAGTCAAAAGCTACTTATTCTTCTTATTTTAGTGATGACGAGAATAAGCCACCAAGCTGGCTACCAAATATAACCTTAATCTTGAATTGAACATTTTTTATTTTTCTCTGGCATCTATATGTTTACATAATCTGCTAGACCATCCCAATAAAAGCAATTATGGAATGTTAAAAGCCTAAAAGACAATCTTGCAAACCAAAACTCCTTTTCCTTTGTTTCCTGGGTGGAAAAAGTACATGATTTGGCTTTCACTAGGAGCCTCTAAAATCCTGTATATGCATTTATCAAAATCTTTTTGGTGCACAGATTTAGTAGCTGTTGGTTCAAACGAGGGTCCTTCAACGGGAGAAGAGCAGGATGAGGCTGTTGAGCAAACACAGCTCCTGAAACAGAAGTATCTGAGAAATGCAGAATTAGCATCAGATTTGTTAAAGAGGTTGAAGGAAGTGATGGAATTTATGGGAAGGATTGATAAATTAGGGTCTCATCGTCCAGTTATCCATCCTGCTTTTAAAAGAAAAAGGAGCAGCTGATCAGAGTTGCTATATTGTATGGTATGGTACTATAGTCGATGCATTCGAGCCAAGCTGTTAGGGTAAGGGGTTGGCTGATTGATCTATATTTGTGTTCAGCTTGTTGTAATTACATAGGAAGAACGTGTATTATATAAGCAATTAGTCAGTCATTGACAATAGGGGTGTTAGCCGAGAAGAATGTACTGCAAATTTTGTAAGCTTTGTCAATCCGTTTTTTATTTTATATATTATCATCACTATTACTCCCTATATTTTTTGAAGCAACGAGGAACACAACCGTTGTATTCAGTGTAGTTGATTTTTTTTTTTCTATATGGATATTTGTCAAACGTAAACATAAGATGTGTTTCAAGTAGGGGTGGGCACGATTCGGGTCGGTCCGGGACTCCGGGTTCACCTTAAATAAAGTTGTAGATAATGTTATTTTATCACAATTTGAATCATATCCCATAAAAAGATATGGCTGAAGTGGTGAGAGATGTTCCCCTCAAATTTCAATAGTGACTATTTGTCTCCTACGGGCTATGTCTAATTTCACCCTAATCCTTTCATATTCTAGTCATGCTTCAAAAGATTTGTAGCTACTTGTGTTAATGTGTTATATCTCTCCTAAAACCTAAATGATTTCATTTGGATTTGTATACAAAAACGATATGCTCAAAGCAATGACACAACATTATCCTAATTTCAAGGTACTTTGTAAGTTATTTTTCTAAATAGCCATTTTCGTGCTCTAATCTCATTCTTCATATCTATATTTTATCTTGACGGGAGTAGGGCAAGTAACTCTGATTTCCATCATATTTGCATATGGCTATTTCCCATGGCCGCCCATGGGTTTATAGTTTCTAGTTTCTACCAATTCGACAATGTAATTAAGGTCAAATTTTTGGGGTAATCATATTTAGCAACTTTCGTTTTGATTTCTTCCAATTACATCATGTTTTTACTAATGTCCTTTCGTTTCATTTTGACTATTAATAATTTTTGGCAAGAATAAATGGTTGATAAAACTATGGAAACGGTAATCATATTTTGGTGAACATAAAAATTGAGAAGTAAATACGTATGGGAAACAAATAATTTCTAGAGAATTTACCCAAAATAAGACTAAAAAAGTTTGGAAATTCCAAAATAGGACTGACATGTTTTTTATTTCCAAAATAGGACTAATTACTGTCATGTTTTGGCAGTACCAGACTTCAAACATGGCAGTATTTTCCAAACTTGGCAGTAATTACTCTTATTTTGGGAATAAAAAACATGGCAGTCCTAATTTGGAATTTTCAAACTGTTTTAGTCCTATTTCGGGAACTTTCCCTAATTTCTATCATAATATGCTTATTGTTGTATCCATACAAATAAATTCCTACTATAATTTTTGGGTAATAATCCAAACTAAAGTTACACATCTTATATAACTGGTCAATAGTTTATAAATTTGCAAATGATCATAGTAACTGAAATTGCTAATATCAGCATTGCATATTCTATCAAAAACATATGATCATTGCATATAATAAGATGTCATATTTTTATCCCAACCATTATTGCAGTTATATACGTAGCATATGTGACAATTTCTTTTATTTCACAAATACTCTAGGGAAAGACTTCGTATATGACACAAGACACACCAAATAAACAAGATAAGCTTTTGTTCCATTGGGGAGAAATGATATTGATGTGAAGTGATATTGCATTTGGAAGTACTCTTTTACTTCAATAATACTTTTAAAACTTTCTTTGAAAAAACTTTAAAACTTTAAAATGTACTAAAACTTAAAAACCTTCTCATTTCAAAAGTAGGTAGATTAAGAATAGTGAAAGAAGATATGAATTATTGAGCGTATGATGAGAAGATAGTGGAATAATGTGATGGAATGTAGGATAAATCCAAAAAAAAGTAGTTGTAATAGTGTATTATTTTCAGAATTATTGAGGGTATGATGGGAAGATTTAGAAATGAGAAGATTTTTTTTTGTTACGGACGAAAAAGGAAAGTGGGAAGATTTTTATGTTACGGAGGTAGTATGCAGTAATCATTTAAAAGCTACTCCGTACAACTTATAAATATGTGATTAAGTTATTTCTATTTTGTCTATTCAAATAAATACCAATCACACAATTTATTTCAATTATTTATGTAAAATTCATATTCCCCTTCCACTCGCTAGCCTTCATACTTCTTCTTACAACTTTATCATTTTCTGGACTAAGAGCCCGTTTGGTAATATGAAAATCGACTGTTTTGGCCGATTCTGCTGAAATTCATGAAGTTCTGGATGAAGTGGCTGCATTTGCTGATTCTGCTGAGTTAAGAAAAAAATATTTTTAAAATTTATTTTATTAATAAAACAAAGAAAAAATTATATGTAAAAATAGCTAAAATGGTCATCTACAGTAATTTCCGCCAATACAGCCAGAAAAGTAACTTCAACCTTACTTTTTATGCTTATTACACAATTCAACGCGCGAAAGCAAAAGTTACGTGTTTGGTGAAAAAGTTGGCTCACAAGGCTAAGGCCATCTCCAAGAGACCACCAAATCACACACCATTTTGGTGTATTTGCCAAAAATCCTCTCCAACAATCACACCATTCTCCACACCATCACACCATTTTGGTGGAGAGGAGATGGCTTCACGCCATATATGGCGTACACCATTCTCAACACCATCCACCTTTTTTAATTTATTTTCCTTTTAAATGTGACCTTCAACTTTTAATTATTATAGTTTTGACCCATTTTTAAAACAACAAATTAGGATGTTTTACTTGGACTGAAATTGGTTTGTCCGCTCTGGTCTGGTCTGGTCTGGTCTGATTTGATCTGGTCTGATCTGAAATGATGTGGTCTGGTTTGATTTCTTTGTATTTTTATAACTACCCAAGTGTGGTCTAATCAGGTCTGATCTGATCCCGAGACAAATTACAGTCCAAGTAAAAACATCCTTATAGAACAACAAATAAAAATTATTAATTTGATATAAAAAAATATAATAAAATTTAAATCACACAATATTATAAATAAAGTTTCAAATCCAAACAACATTATAACAGAATACAAATGGTACTTAAAGAAATAGCATAATTAAAATTACAATTAATAACCCCATTACAATTAAAATTAAAACATAATTAAAACATACATGGCACATAGAAATTTAGAAATTAGTAATCATTCAACCCGCTTCCAGACCCTCCGAGACCATCAATTTAGAAATTAGTAATCATTAATAACCCTCCGCAATGCTTTAATTGATCATTTGTGGGAACAATACTCAAATTCCGACAACTAAACTAAGAATGTTTATTTAATCTATTGCTTTAGGTTTAAGTAGCACTTTATTAATGACGTACAAATTATTATAATATTATTGTAATATTTAATTTTATGTGGTTTTAGCTTTTAATTGTGAAATATTGATTATTGTATTTTAATTAGTGAAATGCGTGAAAATACATATTAAAATGATGTATTTTAGTTTGTATGTGTGAAATAATGTGTTAAATGTCAAAATATTAAATGAGGGGCTAATGTATAAATATATGATAGTTAGATACTTAAATAGAAGAATGGTAAAAAGTTAGTAAAAAGAATAAAAAGAGAATATTCCTTTTTGGTGATGAAAATGGTGTAAACTGTTGGAGATAAAATACTGTTTGATGTGATGTTTACACCATTTTAGTGTAAAAAATGGTGTTAACTGTTGGAGATGGCCTAATAAGCCAAACGGGCTCCAAATATTCAGTGTTCCTCTCTCCATGGAAAGCTGTCAATGCTACTTTCTGAAGCAAAGGAAATGAAACACGACGAGAAATAGATAACTGGTGGATTCAGTTTTTTTTATCCTATGCGCAATGTAAAAATCTTCCAAACTAAGCTGGCTGCTGGCTTGTTGTAATAAATAAATAAGGTTATGCCATGATCTGTGTGAATATGTATAATAATTCACCAATTTCGGAGGCGGCAAGGAGGTTGGCGAAAACGAGGAATGGTCCATTCACTGAAAAATAGCGAAAAATAAAAAACGGATCCTGAGGATTTCCTGTCCATTGTCCTCCTCTCGTTCTCTACCTTCTACTGGGTATAAATATATTCGCAGACATGATTGGCTGGAAAGAAAGGGATTGGATCCGGAGCATCATCAGACCCATTAACCCGTTTTTTCTCCCTCCTGCTGGTTATCTTGCGATTTCCAGAGAGGGAGACCAGCTGCCTCTGTTATTTACATACAATTGGTAAAAAGAATTGGCTGTCTGTATGTTTGATATATATAATGCTATACTCTGGGCTTTTGCCTTTTGCATTGGATTTTGGAACATTTTTCTTGTCCACTTTTCTATTAAAGTCTCTTTCTTTTTTAGGATTTCACTATTTCAGAGTTTAATGTTGTTTTGAGATGAATAATGTTGATGTCTTTGTGTTTGAGTAGAATTATATTGATGCTCTCTTGATTTCTGCTGTCAAAGTTAATCCCTTTCTTATTGTGTTGAATGCCTTTTGTCACTTGTGATTTCCAGGCTTAATATTTGCTTGCTAGTTGCGAAGTAGTTGGACTCATTATTTGAGATGTCCTCAACCTTAATGTGAACACACAACAACGTACGCATGCTTCTGTTAGTTAGATTGTTTGTGTGCTAGCTTGATGTTAACATCATATGTCCTCAGTCCTCACTAATCTTCATACCAAACAGCTTATTCTTTCCCAATTGTATGCTAATCAGCTTCTAGGAACCCATTTTAAGCCATTTCTTGACGATATGATTTTTGTTTGATTCCGGAACAGTTGATATTGATGTTTTCACGTTTTACATTTCTAATCTGCAAGCCTGGTAGTTCATGATAAGGAATACTGATTTTTCTTACCTAAACAAACTAACATTAATAATAAAACAAGACAATAAAAATTGATACATTCCCCCAACCTGGCAGGTTAGTCATACTTAGAGATGCATCATGCATGTGTTGTGTTACAGCATCTCTAACTAGATCTCCATATTTTAATCTTTTCAGAAAGGCATTGAAACTCAGAAACACGATGAATTATCCTCCACTTCATCTTATTTCTCATGAAAAATGACATTCATTTACTTATTTGTTTGTTTGTTTATTTATTTTCGTTCTTTGATTTAATTTCCATGTTGAGGGCAGGATGTAAAACTTCTAGCGGGTGAAGAGTTGGAACTCGCATGAGGACAACATCTGTTTGTAAGCTGAGTAGGAGGAATAATGGGTGCCTGTGGTTCGAAAGCATCCCGTCAGATAATCCAGGTGAGGAAGAAAAACCTCCGCCGCCGCGGCCGCCACAAGAGACACCGTGCTATTACAGAAGGAAAAAGGAAAAAGAATGGAGATGGAGGAGGGGGTAGTAGAGTGAAAGATATTGGTGCGAGTGAGTTTGTTCACACAACTGTAAGAAGCAAACTGTCTGATGTGTCGCAATTGCACCGTAGCAGCCACATTGATACTAACGGTATTTTCAGCTTTAATTACTTGTTCATCGAAGGATCCTAGACATGAGTTTTATCCTAAAAAGATTACCCTAAATTGCGATTCCTAAACAAACAACAAACCATAATCGGATCAGATCATCAGACTATGATACCATATTAAATGCGGCATAACTCACCTCCAAAGGATGCTGAGGAGGTATGGTTGACCTCAACTTATATATCAGCATCGTGCGCTCAACTTATATATCAGCATCATGCTTACTAACATCCGATGTTTGGCATTCAAGACTTTAAAATTTGATACATATGATCAATTAAGTTTGTTTTATCTATTTGTATGATATTTCTAGGATCAGTAGGTGATTTTTAATTATCTATTGATTGGTCTTATAAATAATATTATTGGGAATGCATCCTTGAAGTATTGAGTAGTTTTATAGGCAGGATGTTTTCATCAACATAGGGGTCTAACAAGTTATAAAGCTATTACTACACCTCCTATATCACCTAAAAAGAAAAGAACAAAATATGTTTAATACTTTGATCACTTCGTCAACCTTACTAAACAATGTCTTTTTAATCAGTTTTTTTGGTGTTAATATTTTTATTGCTTTTCTCAAATATCCATTGAACAAGGTTTGTTTGCTCAGTTTGATCCTTGAACATGCAATTTTGACTACATTTCAACTAAATTGGGTCTCAGTTGCCTAGTTGAGTACCAAGTTGTAATAATGTTTACTTGAGGGACTAAATTAGGAAATAACTGAATACAATGTCATGGCAGTGGTCTAGTTGGATTGACCAATGATGAAGGTTATTAAACATTTAAACATAATCACAGTTTCTTGTCATCTGGGCTTCAGACAATTAAGTTGAATGAAATCCTTAATCATAAGGAAAAAGAGAGTATCCTTGTTAGAAGTAATTCACAATGTCTTGTCCCCGGGCTTCAGATAATTAAGATGAATGTATAGTCGAGGGACTAAATCGGGAATTAACTGAATACATTCAATATTTCAATACAATGTCATGACAGTGCTCTAGTTCATATTGACCAATGAAGAAGGTTGTTAAACACAATCACAATTACTTGTCCCCTGGGTTTCAGACAATTAAGTTGAATGAAATCCTTAATCAATAAGGCAATAGAGAGTATCCTTGTTAAGCACCTTTTGTTAATCTCATACAACTTTAAAACTCGAGAATTGAAACTAAATATAGATTGACATGCTTGCAGTATTTTTTCAAGAAGAAGCATGGTTCGATACAGTCAGCATTTTGGATCATGACTCAGATGATGATGACTTCTGTAGTGTTCATGGAGGTAAGTAGCATATTATGTTCTGTTTAAATTCCCAGTAACAAGTTAACAACTCTTTGTAGGCACTGTCAAGTACTCCGTATAATATATGATCTACATTATTTTGTTGGTATAAAACTGCCATACCATACCTTAAGTAGATAATACAACATCCGTCCTGGCTAAAGCTTCTGATTGAAAAATAGCACGGTTATTTAGACAATAATTAAGTAAGGTAATTTGAGTATATTTTTAGAAGTAATATTTTTGGGTATATAACATAATGAGGTCATTGATGATAACTATGATGTTATAGGTGTATTTTTGTAAGATTTGATGATTAATCTATCATTTAAGAGTACTAATGAATAATTATTCCCTAAAATAAAAATGAGAAGATTAAGCTATGACATCCAAAAAAGACAAGTGAAAAGCCTAAGGTAGGACAGAGGGGGTATGTTTTTAATATCATCATCATCACCACCACTTTTACTGCTTTTGTTGCTTTTAGCTGAACTCTTAAATAAAATTCCATATTTTATTTGAGCAAACAACAAAGTTGACACCGCATAATCACCACATTGACTTTCAGGTCAAAAATTTGAACTAATAACATGTTTAGTGATATTATTCCATTTCGTGATACAGATTGTCTTCCTTATGCGCCGGGTGGACATGTCATTCAGTATGAGACTTCGTCTTGCTTTGTAGATAGCAAATGTAAGCACAAATTCTAACATGAATTATATTTTAATATATACTCCGTAATAAGGAAGCAAATTGAGCCGCAAATACAGCTTGTTCTTATAGGGGCCCATGATATATCATTAATATATCAGATTCAGGTCTTTACTCTCAAGCAACGAAATCTGCTATCATTAGGCTATCCTTAGAGAGAACATCTGTTGATGAAAATTCAGCAGAGGATTTTTGCAAGTATATTGTGGTTTGAGTTTTGATTTTTTTGGGAACATGCCTTAGGCAACCCTTAGATTTGTAGTATATCTCAAAGTGACCCTTCCATATAGATGTTTCGTACATTGAGGGTTACTTCATGATAATTTTCAAATCAACATCCCTGTTATTTTAAGAAATGTGGCTACCATCCCTGTTATTTTCAAATCTAAGGGTGAAAGAAAAAGAAATTTCTCTTTTTTACTTGTTGTGAATTATCTGTTGAGAATATCTTCTAATAGCTTGGTTATACAGTTTCAAATATCTGAGGAAGATCTTATTAGTATGATTTTAATTATGAATATTATCACTACTACTATAATAATAGTATAATATGGAGTAATAATTATTATTATTTTGCATCGTCCATACAATCACTCAATCAGACAATCAGTTGTATTTCAATCACTGATGTGGTCACTATGTAAATAACTTAAGTGTGGCTATTGAAGGGTTTGGGATTGAAGATAAGGGACTGGGATATTTTCTTAAGAACATTTGTTAGAACAATATGGTTGACACATGACATGCATACAGGTAGATCAAAAACATATCTTTACCGGCCCAGAGCAGGACTCACAGTTGCATGTTGTACAGACAAAAAGCCAACTTCAGGAACTTGGTCTATTACCGACCCCTCTACTTTCAAGCTCCGTGGTGATACTTATTTTAAGTACGGCCATGACTTCATTTTTGTTGACCTTTATATGTCAGCTTATTCGGATAATATTGCTTCTAACGCAACTGTAACCTCTCCTCAACCTCGATGTGAACAAACACATGTTATGCTTCTGTTTGTTTGTATGCTAGTTTGGTATTAACTTTATATTGTTCTCATACTAATTTTCATACCATACAGCTTGCCCAATAAACTACAACATTTGAGACTTAAATGTCAACAAACTCTCAATTGGAAGAGTAACTCTAGATCTTATGTTTTGGCTTGTTATTTCATATTTAGATACTCCTATATTATGTTATTACTTTTGCAACATATTCATAATCTTCAAACTTAATATGCAGAGACAGGAAGAAGTCTCCTGCTCCAAATTTGTGTCCTTATACTCCCATTGGAGTTGATTTATTTGTATGCCCAAGAAAGATTAAACACATTGCACAGCACCTTGAGCTTCCTTCTGTCAAGGCAGATGGGAAGCTACCCCCACTTCTCATAGTTAACATTCAGGTATGTCTAGCAATTGTTTCCATCCATAAAGATGTCATATAGTCCCCCAGTTCCTAATTTTTTGTGGCTGTCCCACAAGGGTTTGCCATTTTCCTTTTAAGGAAAGAAATTGTAATTTATATTGCATCTCTCGCTTCAAGAATCAAGATAAACCTCGACTATACAATTTTTCAATTCATTATTCCTCATGTCACTCAAACATTGAAAAAAAGGTTGGGAGGGAGAGAATATCAAACATTTCTTACTGTATTATTATTATTATTATTATTATTGTTACTATTATTATTATTATTTCATTATTATTTTGATTCAGATGCCCATTTATACTGCTCATATGTTCCATGGAGAAAGTGATGGGAAAGGACTGAGCCTTGTGTTGTATTTCAAACTCTCTGAAACTTATGAGAAAGATATCTCTCCCCAGTTTCAGGACAGCATCAAGGTATGTCCTACCTCCCACCATTTACTAAGCAGCACTTATGTTTCCTAACACAATGATTTGTTTGTTTTTTATTAGAGATTTGTAGAAGATGATATGGAAACGGTTAAAGGATTTGCAAAGGAGTCAAGAGTTCCTTTCAGAGAAAGGTTAAAGATTATGGTTGGGGTGGTGAATCCATGTGATCTTGTGTCAACGTCAACTGAAAGGAAACTCTTAAATGCATACAATGAAAAGCCGGTGCTTTCTCGTCCACAACATGACTTTTATCAGGTTTGTTTGGATTGTCCTTTTATGATTTCTGGATATAATAATCTTGCTGTCACAAAAAGAATAGACTCATGCAATGTATACAATGGGTGATTTCTGGAGATATAATAATCTTGCTGTCATATAATAAAATTACGCTTGTCGTTTGTCATTGCAGGGCCCAAATTACTTTGAGATTGATCTTGACATTCACCGCTTCAGCTATATAGCAAGAAAGGGACTTGATGCTTTTAGAGAACGTCTGAGAGAGGGAATTCTGGATCTTGGTTTGACAATTCAGGTTTCACATATTGTTTTTGTATGCTTTTTTACATATTGCACTTCATTGTTTAGTGAATCTCATGATACATTGTTTTTGTTTTTTGTGATAAACAGGCACAGAAGCCAGAGGAGTTGCCCGAGGAAGTCCTTTGCTGTCTCAGGCTAAACAAGATTGATTTTGTTGACCACGGCCAAATCCCAACTCTAGGAAAGGGGATGGATGACCCTTTCCTAGAGTAGAGCACCCATTGCAAGTTGTTTAGCCTACAGCAGTATATATTGCATGCTGGGAATGAATATACTCCATCTAGGCACAAATTGAAATTCCCACTTTGACTCTTGTAGTCAAATTTTGTTAACACATTGACCGCTAACTATTCAAAATATATTAAATTATAATAAAACGGTCAAAGATCCGGATCGAAAACTGTGAAAGTCAATGTGACAACTTGATTTTGGGATGCATGAAGTAATAAAAGGGATGAAATGTCAGCTTTCTACATATAAGCACTGCCACTGTATACGTTGTGCCAAATAGTACTCTAAATCTGTACAAGACATCCTTCCCTACCCTTATGAACACTGGTATAAGAAGTTGTGTTCTTAGGTTAACAGATAGTGAGTACTCTAAGTTCTTTGTTTTGAGTTGACAAAAAAGGGAAAAAATTATGTGTACTGATTTACAGCACTTGCAATGAAAGTTCTTTTTATAACATGGAATCATCAATACACACACATAAAGTAATTATAGTACATTCCAGTTGCGCATTCAGCTTATAAATAGGACTTGATAGGTACGAATAATTTTGGATACATTCTTACTCGAAATTTTATACATGAATGTAAAATGAGTTTTGCAACTTCGAGTGCTCTAGAAGTGGATAACAGAGGAACATATTATGTTGATGGATGTCTCTTTGCTATATGCTGTCATAGCCTTCCCAACTCCCAGTACTAAAGTAACAAAACTGGTTCCATCACTTCCATGAATATAAATGGAGTAAAGTACTTGAAGTTGAATAAAAAGGGTCAAATAAGTCCTTATATAGGAGACTCTGTCTGGTCGCCATCATTTGGGGTGGTTTCTGGTGGAATTTTTTGACGGAATTATTTCAAGTTTTCACATATATAAAAGCGCAATTATTTTCAAGAATTCATTTGAATGCTTTCCCAATTGAAGTTTTAGCAGAAATTTGATATGAGTAAACTAGACTTAATGAATAAGATGTTCAAAAAATTTCATAAAAAAATTCCACCGGGAACCGCCCTAAATGGCGAAGGCCGGGCAGTAATGACTTATTTGACCCCTTTTATGCAACTTCGAGTATCAAACTGACCTTTTACTCAATATAAATCTTATAACTGGAACAATTTGGGGTTTGACCCTATAAATGATAAATCCATAACTTATTTTGTCAAGCATCACCTTTTTCAAGATCAGGAGTGAGAGAAATGAGCTGAAATAATAATAGTAATAATAATAATAATATCAATAATAATAACAACAACAATACTAAAGAACAACACAAATAAAAGCTAGCCGATGAGTGGTGATGCCTCGAATATAATTCGGAGTACGAAATTGCTAACTATATAGCCTCGATGTGATGGAATATTATACAAACCGTTCGCATCAAATATATATCTTGAATTGGCTTACCGTGAGTAATAATGTGTTGATTTAATCTGTCAAAAAAATGTGTTGATTTATGAAAACTAGTAATCCCGAATTCTTCCACTTGTTAAGGCTTTAACGCTCCCATCCCAGTAGAGCAGAAATGGCAAGGGGCGAAAGAAAAACAAAAATATCCTGCTCTCATTGAGAGTCGAACTCAAGACCTCCCGCTTACTAAACGGGTGCTCTAACCAACTGAGCTACGAGAGCTGCTTGTTGATGGAACTCGCTTTACGTATATAACGCTTATCCGTTATACGAAGTCGTATTTGCCCAGGATGAGAAAGAAAATAGGAAATGCGTTATGGTTAAAAATACTGAAATTTAAACGATAATAAATTCGAGTTCCGGCATACTAAACCTTAATTTGTTATCGAATGTTTCCTAACATTTGGTAAACAATTTCTTTCAAAAAAAAAAAACATTTGGTATGACAATTTGACAAGTTAAGCCAAAATTACTAAAAATGAACTCCAAATTCATAAAATCTAAGTCAAACATTGATTAGGTTGGAATCAATATCATAATTAGTTGTAATGATGTATTCTGGTTTCTCAACTGTTAATAGGACATTACTATTCATGGTCCTCCGGCCTAGGGTGGTTCGGTACGGTATACCGAATATTTTATCTCATACCTTTACTATACCGTAAATTTTCGGTATGCAAAAATACATACCGTTACCATACCGAAAATTTCGATATACCTTGTTTCGGTATACCGAAATTTCGGTACGGTAAGGTACGGTATCGGTAAATTATCATGATTTAATATAACAAAATATTATATGTCAAATAAAATATTGATAACTAGTTTTAATTGTGATATACTACAATCATTAATGAAATTAATTATAAAATACCAATGATAACCTATTGGTGTTCTATTCAACTTTGAACAAAAAAATATTATAATTATGTTTAGATATTTCAAGTTTTCAACACTTGATACATGAAGATAACAAAATATTATACTAAAAAAAATTAAACAACATAAATATAATTAAAATAAAACTGATCTCCAACAAAAAGTATAAATGATTCAAGAAAGATGGATATAAAGTCATTTATCCTTGAATTAGTGTTGTGTTTCTAGTTATTTTTATAATTTTAAATAAATTATTGACTTGGAATCCGGTATGACGGTATAGCGGTATACCGTTTATTTCTAAAATATATATCGATACCATACCGAAGTAATTCGGTACGGTATCATACCATACCAAAAGTGTCGGTATACCAAACATTTCGGTAAATTCGGTATTTTTCGATATGATATGGTAAGTCCGGTATACCGAAATTTCGGTATTTTCCCCCACCCCTACTCCGGCCACTTGAAATATACTCCGTAGATAACCCTAAGTTAATTATTTGGCATAACAGTTCGAGCTTTTTTTTACTTTATTTTTAAATATTACTCCGGGCATAAAAGTGAATTATTTAATTCATACATTTTAGGCTCTGTTTGCAAACACAACTGGGAAGTGCTTTTAACTTTTTTAAATGATTTGGTAGAAAAGTAATTAATAGTAAAAGTTGGTAGTGTTTGAGAAGAAAGTGATTTTGAAAAGTAAAAGTTGGTGGTGTTTGGTAAAATAAATGTTTTTTGTGTAATAAAAAAAGTAAAAAACAGATTCTAGCATTTAGCTTTTAAGTAATTCATTTAAATAAAAGTTGTCATTTAAAAACATCTTTTTAACTTTTTTTAAACCAAAAGCGGGAAAGTGCTTTTTTAGTTGTGTTTGCAAACAGAACCTTACTTTATGAACTATGAAGTACTAATATATATGAGAATTGCCATGTTTAGATTCTATTAGTACAGTTCGGCTCATTGAAGAAAGAACCAAGATGTAGGCATGTAGCAACACTGGAGCAGATCAAAGTCTCACTTGACTTATGATGATCGATTTCATAAATTGGTAAAATAATTTATTGTCCATAATTATTTTTCAAATTTTCGCGAAATTCAAATTTCCAAATAAAATGGGTTTTGACTGAAATTGTAATATGATCGATACAATTATGTACTCCCTCCGTCCCGTTGGAATGTTCCCGGTTTGACCTACACACATATTAAGAAAATAAACTTACCAGGGGGTAAATTTTACTGTTTGGACACTGTTTGGACACTGTTTGACACTGTTTTGCACTGTTTGACACTGTTTTGATGTAGGATAACTTTCCATTTAGGGAAATGAGAACTTTCCATTGGGACATCCAAAAAAGGAAAGTGAGAACATTCTAACGGGACGGAGGTAGTAACATTTAAATGCATTTAAGATATCAATTTGGTTCATTCAATAGTTGAAGTATTGCAATGCTCAATAGTTGGTACATAGTTATAGTACCATTTAAGTCCTAAGACTACAATCACACATTATGCTTAACAGAACACAAATGTAGATAAAGCAACAAGAACCATGACAAGGAAGACGACAATGGGTTTAGAAGGCGGCATTAGCGATGGCGAACCATTTATGGATTGAGCGACAGGCAGCAGCGGGGGAGGAGCAAGCGGCCGTTGTTCGACATTGATAGCCATTTTCAATTTATTCCAACAGTAACCTCCGCCGCTGATGAAGTAATAAGGTCTCGCCTCCTTCAGCAGAAACACGTCCCGCCCGCCTCTCGTGATGTTTGTCACGAACTCCTTGTCGTTGCATGACTCGTAATTGGTCTCGTTCACTTCCAAAACATTGTAGTAGTGCTTATCAAACACGAAATCTGATGCAATATTGAAATTAGTACTGAATATTTGGCCAAGTAATAAATGAAGGGCTAGGTATAACTATTATTTGAACAATCATTCTCCGTGGATACCCCCAAATGACACACTGAGTTATACACCACTTTTTTTTTTGTGTGTGTTCACAAGCAATTGTTTTTTGTCTTTGTAAAGAGTATTTTATGGAGCACAGACAATTCACTTTTTCAGGATTACAATTTATTTCCCTTTAATTTACTTAAATGAAAACATATTGTGTATTCACAGATAAAAAACACTTTGCGTGTAAGCAGGCGTGTATAAATATGGAGTATCATTTTTCTTATTGTTGATAATGGTCATTTTCTTTAATTATGTAAATTATGTACTCTTTAATAACCAAAATAAAGTAACAAGTTGCTTCTGTCACTGAATTGACTAAAGAGAATTATTAACTACTGAGTACTTTTTATATTTTTTCTAAATAAAATATATTTAAATGTAACTTCTTTCCATAATATGGAGTAGTATATTAGAAACATAAAATGCAATTCACTTTTAGCAATGTTGATTTGAACAAAATTCATAAAAAATCACCGAAAGGTTTATAAAATGAAGGGGCGGAGCTAGGGGCCGGAGGGCCAATCCTGACCCTGGCCTAGCCCAAATTTTAAAAATATCTAAACTTTTAGTGTAAAAATTCCATGTAATTTTTTTTTCAAAAATATTCTTTGTATCGGCCCAGTGTTCTGGCTCCGCCCCCGATAAAATGTACTATTTTGATGAGGAATCTCATAAAATGGAAACTCAAAATTTCCAAAACACTATTTATTTAAGATAAATATGTGGTTCCCAATTCTTCTTGATTATGGAAATGTCTCCTAGTTTATGACAAACTTTCGAGATGGGGAGCTTCCATAGGTGACTTTTCAGGAGATAGTTTTACAGATTTCGAACAAGTTACGATGAAAAAGAAATAATTTCAAATATATAACTAAAATAAAAGTATTAGACAAAAATGTGACTCTGATAATTGTGGTGAGTATAATTGTATGCATATATTACGAGTACATAATAGTGACTATAAACTTACTCATAGTAATTTATAGTTACATTTTTATCCATAGATTTGTATTGGTGATATTTTAGGAAAAACCTCGTGAAAAAAATGATCGAGAATAGGGAGAATTACAAAGCCAGTCGCCGACGTAAAAATGCTGTTGGGCAGCCCATTCGGTGTAGTTCATCACGTTGGGGGCCCAACCCACATTCCCTCCCACCTTGATCCGATCACCGCTCGCACACGTCAGCAGCAGCCCCATCACGAACAACACACCATTGATGGTCGTCGTCGAGCGGGCCAAAGCCCAACCCGCCCCCATTCCGGAGATTCAAATGATCAGTCTGGTCTGATTTCTCTCTTCAGTTATTTGGGTTTCTTAATATCCACTATAGTCTAAAGTTTACGAGAGTGTTTTTTTGTGTGTATGAAAATGTGGAAATATATCATTGTCAGCCAACGCATATATAGGTTCACAACAAAAGTTCAACAGACGCCAGTACTGATCGGTCAAACTCCATTTGACTAAGATTGGTTGTTTTGCGTTGTTCGACAATTCCATGCGCGAGATATGCGTGGGATGCAATACACGGTTCAACTTTAGGGTAATTTTTCGCAATTTAGATTAGGGTAATGTTTTTCCATTTTAATATTTAGTTCACACTTCTGATATTTAAGTCGAATACAATTACTCTTCAGTTTAGTCCCATTTAGATTCATGAGTTCACCCCAATTTTTTTACGGACATAGTGCATATTTAGTGTAGAGTATCATTTGTTTTTGAGATATTACCCGAAATAGGACTAAAAAAGTTCGCAAATTCCAAAATAGGATTTCCATGTTTTTATTTCCAAAATAGGACTAATTACTGTCATGTTTTGGCAGTACCAGACTTCAAACATGACAGTATTTTCCAAATTTGGCAGTAATTAGTCCTATTTTGGGAATAAATACACGACAGTCCTATTTTGGAATTTTGAAACTTTTTTAGTCCTATTTCGGGAACTTTCCCTTTGTTTTTTACACAAAAAAGTCATATAAGTTGTTGTACTATTTTCTGTCTATCACTTAAGCTCATATACTAATAAGTACTATCCTTCGTTCTTTAATTCTTGCAACAGTTTGACTTTCACGTTTCTCAACGCACAAATTTGACTGTAATTATATTTAATTATGTATTAGTAAAAATTATAAAAAGTTGATATTTTAGAAATTCACATTGATAGGAATTCAGTAATATTTTATACGTAATAATTTGATTATGTATAGTACTAGAAAATTGTGGTCAAAGTAGGGTCTGTGAATAGTACAAAAATCACAATGTTGCAAGAATTAAAGAAAGGAGGAAGTATCATATACTCCCTCCGTCCCGCAAAGAAGTTCTCAGTTTGACCTACACACATATTAAGGAAATAAACTTACCAGGGGGTAAATTTTACTGTTTTGACACTGTTTGACACTGTTTTGCACTGTTTTGCACTGTTTTGATGTAGATAACTTGTCATATAAGAAAAGAGGAACTTCTTTTTGGAACATCCAAATAAGGAAAGTGTGAACTTCTTTGCGGGACGGAGGGGGTATGTCTTTTACTTTGAACAAATTATCAATGTAATCGTTTAATCAGTTTTTTGACCTGTAATATATATCATTTTTTCCAAATTAAAAACTCTAAGAAATTATTACGAGTAAAAGTTAAAGAAATATAGATAAAAAGTGTGTAAGAGTTCAGTGTCAAAGTCAATATTTTTGCATTTCTGAAATCATTTTCATGTTCTACATCTTTAATTTCTAAAATGTTTTTACATTTTTTAATTTATATTTTTACATATTCACTTTATTTTTTAGTTTTCTGAATGTTTTATTATTTTAACATTTTAAAATTACTTATCTATTTTTTACATTTTTTGAGCTCTCTTTTTATATTGGTATTACATTATTTTTCAAATCTATATGAATTTTTAAAAGATTTATCAGTAATCATAATTTATTTAAAAAATAACATCTTATTGTAGCAGGTTATAATTGCTTAATTGATTGTATTTTAAAAGTGAGCATAGTTATATGATGTTTTTAATAGTTGAAAGGTGTATTTGACATTTTTCCCGTTTTTAAATGGATTACTTCAAAGTTTAAACCCCAAATCATACCAAGTTAGACCAGATATCGATCAAACTATACCAAATTATATCCGACATAAACAGATCATATAATATTATATCAAATTAGACCAGATATTGATCAATTGTTATAAATAATATTATCTCCTTCTGAAATATTTTTGCCAACTTTAAAACTTTGACCAACTAATCATAAACTATTTGCAATGGAAACTATTATTTGTAATATAAAAATGATTTGAAAATGTTCTTTGCTAAATGTTCTTTGCTAAATTGAATATAATACTATATTACTCAAAATCATGGTTTAATCTTTACAAGATGGATTTTTTTTTGGGACGGAGGTAGTATATAGAACATATATCTATTAGACTAGACATGACCAGTTCAGGCTAATATTACCCATACTAGAAAGTAAAAAGTTATTTAGAAAATATCATAATTGGAAAATTATTTTATAACTTTTATGCGCTATTTTTGCAAAATTATTTTTAAACTAGTCAAAAGTTATATTGAAAATATTAATACTAAAAATAAATGAATATATGTTGGCATGCAACGTTTGTAGAGTTAAGCACAAATAAAAAGATGGCTTAATGAATTAACGTATGAGATCCTACGTACTCACTTTTACTTGTATTCGTTGCACTTTATGTGCATTGTAATGCACATTTTGACGTTTCACCAAAAAACCGCCTATTTACAAAAATGTCACCGCATGTTTTGACTAAATCGTGTTAGCATTTTGTAAAAAAATTCAGGTTTTGCGAAACCTCAAAAAGTGCATTATTGTGCACATAAAGTGCAATGAATATATGTAAAAGTGAGTGAGAAAGATTTCACATGTTAAACCCTTTTTTTATTTTAACTAACGACGGTACGTATACATGTGTATATATTAAAAATAATAGTAGTGGTAGTTACATAAAATAAAAGAGTACATACCCCGTATAATTTATTTATCTTTCCATGACTCATTAAAAAAAATATGAAGCTAATCTCAATATATATACTTTTTTTATTCATTTAAATTCTTAACATTTAATTGTAAACACTCAATTTGTTAAACATTTACAAACATTTAATTGCAACAAAGCCCATGCCTTGTAGCTTGGTTGTAACTCGTGAATTTGTCCTAAGTCTCATTTTCTCTTTTTTTTTTGAACTTTCAGAATCTTGCAAATCCAATTTGATGTCCATTTTAAATTGAAAATGTAACTGTTAAGTACATATTCTTTTTTTTTTAAAAAAACAACCAAACTTAGTTATTATTGATCAAAATACAATCATATAACTCAATACTTCAATGAGATGAGACATAGGAACGAATGAATCTTCCTGATAATGACATCTAATAGACAAGAATCCAAATGTAAAATTTGTTCTGATTTCACCATTTAGAATGTTAGACTACTTAAATGGAAATTCAAACTCTAGAACACTTTGTATTTTTCTCACGAGAGTTTTGGCCTATCCCATCATCCCATGATTACTTTGACAAAATGTATATCGTAGGGGCATAGTAGGGGTGGACTCGGGCTGGTTCGGGCCCGGGTAACCCCCCCCACCCCCCCCCCCCCCCCCCGGTGCGGGTCGGGCCGGGTCTCAGTTCAATTTTTTTTGGCTTTTCCTAATTAACCCCCAACCAATCCCCCTCACCCCCAAACCACCTCAAATGGCCCAAAATACCCAACCCAAAAACTGAAAAAAATAAATAAATAAATAAATTGACCCGGGCCGGGCCCGAACCGGCCGGGCCGGGCCCGAACCGGCCGGGCCGGGCCCGAACCGGCCGGGCCGGGCCCGAACCGGCCGGGCCGGGCCCGAACCGGCCGGGCCGGGCCCGAACCGGCCGGGCCGGGCCCGAACCGGCCGGGCCGGGCCCGAACCGGCCGGGCCGGTTCACATTTTGAGGGGCCCGAGCCCGGACCGGAACCCCAGCGGGTCGGGCCTACCCGGACCGGTCCCTGGCCGGGCCGGTGGTTCGGGCCGGTTCAAACAGTAACCGGTTCGGGCCGGTTCCGGGGCCGCCCGGCCCAAGTCCAGACCTAGGCATAAGGTGTTCTAATAAATTCGTTTGCATGAGGGGTGATTTTAAGAACTGTGCATATAGGCATGGACCCGGTTCGGGCCGCCCGGCCCGGCCCGCCACTGTGCGGGCCCGGAACCGGCCCGGTTCTCGGGTCCGGGTCCGGGTCGGGCCTAGGCCCGGTGGGGGGGCGGGTCCGGGCTCGGGCCTTGTATTTGGCGAACCGGACCGGCCGGGTGGGGCCCGGACCCAGGCCGATTTGATTTTTTTTTTCCATTTTTTGGGGTTAGCCGGGTTGGGCTTGATGGTTAGGAGGGGTTTGGGGGTTTGGGGGGGTTAGGAAAGCAAAAAAAAAAAAAAAAGACCGAACCGGAGGCCCGGCCCGGACCCGGACCGGACCGGACCCGGTGGCTACCCGGGCCAGTCCCGGGCCTTCCTTCCAAAAAAAAAAGCCCGGCCGGGCCCGGCCCGGAACCGGAACCGGCCCGGGTCCATGACTATGTGCATAATTGGAGGCCATTTCGTGAAATACTTGACAGCATAGGGTTGACTTGAGAATCTAAGATATTTCTTTACATAAGGTCTTTCTTATTGATGTTTCTTAAAATTACGTTGAGGCATATAGTAAAACACCAATGATATAACACTATAGTCTATAAGAGTGTATAACGAAGGCCACTGAGAAATGCGCCAAAGCTATTTTTAGGAGAATTCACATTGTTCACAATCTTTTAACCTACATAAGAGCTATTTTAAGAAGCCTGCATAAGAGAAGATCATGCAGTGAAATATATCTCAAATTCGAGAGTTAATAGAAGAAACTTGGTAATATACTTCTTGTATCCCAAAACATAAGATACATTTGGGCAATAATTTTAAAAGCATAGAGAAAGTCATTTTATTTTGTACACATAAAAAGGACGAAATCACGAAATAGTAGCATTAATACACCAAAAAAGTAAAGGGCAAAATGGCAAATGATAGATTAAAAGATAATATATTGGAAAATTGATGGAGTTTAAGTGTTTAACTTAAGACAGTACCCATAGCTTTGGGAGAAAGGGAAAAAAAATGAGAAGTATTAATAAAAAGGAACAGTGGAAGTACCAAGTATTTAATATCAACATGATTAACAAAGTCAATGTTTGTCCTAGATAAATCATACAAATTGTAGTCTCCGCAATTTGTGTACTCTATTTCTCCAAGTTCAAACAAATGAGAACACGCTGACACACCACCACACAGACATAAGTGAGCTCGAATGATCAAATAATTAGTTTAAAAATTGGTTGACGACCTTAGAGAACAAGAGAAAACTGCAAAACACGTCAAGGTTTTCTTTTCCGGGTACATAAATGCACACATCAGCCTACATAGCAATCTTTCTTCACAATTGGGTAGCTCCAAATTAACTTAACCAATTCAGCAAAGCCGTGTAATCTAGATGATGAACAATGCTCCTACCTACACAAGCAACAGGAAGGAATCCCACACAGCAGCAATGGTGAACAAAGCTGGCAGAACAATGTGGCCTCTGAATGTGGAGAGCAGAGTAGGAGGAGAACTGCTCTTTTTTGGGGATGTTGTCGGAGGAGGCGGTGGTTTTTCAACGTGAATTGCTACTTTCATTCCATTTGCGCACTGCCAGCTGTGGCTAATGAAATAGTAAGTTTTGGTCTGGTTAAGTTGGACAACATCTCTTCCACCATGTGTAATGTTTTGGATGAAATGGTCAGAATCGCAAGAATCATAGCAGGTTTTGTTTACTTCCAGCACATTACACATGGTCTTGTCAAAATAAAAAACTGCACAATCAAAATTCGAATGGAAAATATGACATCATTAGGACACTATACATTCTGAAGTACCAAGGACCAGGACACTAGCACACTACTACAAAGTCATCATCACCTTGATCCCAACTATTATGTGTTATTGGTATTGGTAACTTGAAATTCGTAGTGTTGGTTGGTTCTCCAAAGTAAAATAATGATATAAACTCATGCAAAATGTAGTCTCACTCTACTCTACTCTTCTTTCAAGCCACAATTAGATCCATCAAAGACTCAATGGATATGATATCTCTAGCAACTAAAACAGATCAATTCTAGATGGACATATCATATTCTTGCATAACTAGACCAGGTGGCACACCCATCTCTCGCCTGAAACTTGCATATGCAAATCTTATTACTCAAAACAATAAAAGAAAGACTAATTAGTGGGAAAATCCAACTTTAATTTTGGTACACTACAGTATAAGACTAATCTGACAATTTATTCAATCAATGATCAGTTAATATGAGACCAAAAGAAAGAACTCCGACAAATTAATGGGCACATGACTCTGGGTTAGCAGTGAGACGAATCAGAAGCAAATAATAATTGATTCCTGTACACTTGAATCCTAAACATGTTTTCAACCTCCTTGTTTCAACTAAGTCCCACCCCAATTTCAACTAAGGGATTAGACTAGACTTGGTAGACATCAGCCTGATAAGGTCCTGGCTGTCCAGTAGAAACTTGCAGTTGTATGCCAGAAAACAAGTCGAAATGGAAAATATTTGCTAACATTATATATTTTTACCTCAAAATAGTTTCCCTAGATATGATATGATATGATACTACGTACTAAAATAGAAAACGATTGGTTGAGCCAAGAAAAGTCATTTCCCACAGAATTAGAAATATGTAAAAGACACCCTTTTTGAAAATTATTTATATATCCTAATTTCTTCTGTGAAACAAACTTAAAGTTAGTTTGTTCAGCCATGTGAAAAGACCATTCCAGATAGTTCAATTTTAAAGTACAAATGCTGCAGATCTGAGCATATTTCAGAGAAATAAATTCGTCCGAATGCAAGGTGTTCTTCTTCTTGGGATTCACCTCAATTATTGCTAATTGTGTTGGTGTTATACAACAATAACAGTATAAGAAATAATTAATTGCTAAAACATTTAAGTGATGTCAGTCTTATTCAGACGGTATCACTGTCCTCCAACTTGTGCGACCAATTTCTCTCGAAAAGCCACAATGTTAACCAAAACGAAACAAATCAAACATTTTCAGCTCAGCTTGAAGGCAGCAACGAACTCATAACATAAAGCATTACTCGCGCTGCGGTTTCATCACATATAAGGCTAAAATGATAAATAAAAGAATGTAACGAAGTAGATCTGAGAAAATAGAGCTTACTGAGCCAATCTCCCTTGTGAAAATGTTTGCCGCTTGCCCAAGTGGTGTAGTTGAAAGTCGCATTATCTTTCCACATATGGCTGCCCCCGACTTTATACAACTGGGGCTGGCCGGGCGGCGGCGGCGTCTGGGACGAGACTGCGGGCAGCATTGCCAGAGCCGCGCACGCGAGCACCACCGCTATTGTGCGCCACCCCAACACCATTTTTAGCTTCTCCGGTCTCTCGAGAGAACTACGGCTGAACCGCTTTATATGCTGTATAGATCCAACTGCCAGGACCGAATCCCTGCAAAATAGACAATTTCCTTATTCCAAATTCATTCTTGCCATCTCATTTTAAATACTCCATACTTTATTGCTTGCCCCTTCAAAATTTCACTGCCTCAATCTCATTTTAGATTTTACCGTTGCCATTCCATTTTAAGTACTCCCTACTTTATTTTAAATAGTACTTCCAGCGCCCGAAATAATTGTATTGTTCATTTTAGCACAAGTTTTAAGAAAATAATTAAAAAAGTAAAAGTTGTGGTTGAAATTTGAGTAGAAAAAATGTGAATTGATATGAGATATACGAAGTACATCGTTGCGAAACAAAACAATTATTTTGAGACATCCCAAAAAGGAAAACAAGACAACTATTTTGAGATATACATGATTGTAGTGTCACCTTCTCAAATTTCTCTTTTAATTACGGAGTACTCTCTCCGTTCCATAAAGTTTTACCAGGTTTGACTTAGATCTAAGTTTGAGCAAGTAAGAACAAAATGGAAATGAATGGTTGTGATTTGGAAACCAAGCATTCCAGCCCAGCTGGTTGCGAGGTTACTGTGCCTAGTTAGAGGTCTCGAGTTCGAAACCCGCTAGGCACATAGGGGGTTGAACTCAATGGAGTGAGTTTCAGCTCCTATTACTCCAGACTCCCCCAGCAACCCTCTCCCAGACCCCCTTGGAGTAAAAAAAAAAAGAATGATTGTGATTTGGATCAGAGTGAGTTTAAGAAAGTGGGAATAAAATGGAAATGAATGATTGTAGTTGAGTAAGAAAAAAGTAAATGAATATTAGCCATACAAAAAAGATAAATGAGATTTTTTTGAAACATTTCAAAATGATAGGTGAGAGAATTTATGAAACGAAAATAACATTATTTAAAGATTTCATCTTCCACATTAGGGAAGATCCATGGGGGAGCATCCATCCTAACTCACTGCTCTGTTCCCGAAAGATGCATCCACATTAAGTTTCCTCCTCCTGCCCGTGCCCGGACACTTCGATAACTAAGTTTCCAGCTTGATGACTGAGATTGTCATCATTACTACATAGTATTCCTTCCGTCCAGTTAAAAGTTTCTTTTTTGGACGTCTCATTTAAAAGTATGAAATAATGGGAAAGAGGTACTCCAATAGGAGCCCTTACATGTCTATTTATATTAAAGAGTTTAATACATATTAGGAAACAAATATGCCTAATAATAATCTATTACACCCCCTCAAACTGTGCGGGAGATACAACGCGCGAGTTGTCTTTTAAAAATTGAAATTGCCGACTAGAAAGACTTTTAGTAAAAATGTCAGCTAATTGCAACTGAGTAGTAATGTACTTCAAAACTAAGTCTCCATGAGCCACACGCTCCCAAACAAAATGATAGTCTATCTGAATATGCTTACTACGAGCATGCTGTACGGGATTAGCAGTCAAATAGGAAGCAGAAATATTATCACAAAAAAGCTGGACCAATGTAGTGACAGGAAAACCGAGCTCAAATAAGACAGAACGAATATGCAAAGTATCCTGAACAGTATAAGCAACAGCCCTATATTCAGCTTCCGTTGAGGATTTGGAGACAGTAGGCTGCTTCTTAGATTTCCATGAGACAAGATTCGAACCTAAGAACACATCAAATCCTGTTGTGGAACGAGACGTATCTGGACAGCCAGCCCAATCAACATCAGAGTAAGCAATAACACAAGTAGCTTGAGATGTAGGCTGAAGCCATAGTCCATGATCAAGGGTCCCATGTAAATATCTAAAAATCCTCTTGACGGCAAATAGATGAGTAGTACGAGGAGCATGCATAAACTGGGACACTAAATGCACAACATAGATAATATCAGGTCGTGTCAAAGTTAAATAGTGTAACACACCAACCATACTACGATACTCAGTAGCATCAACAAGGAGTTCACCATCAGTGAGAGATAAAGAAGTGCGTGTAGCAAATGGAGTACGAACAGACTTGAGGGTATGAAGGTGAAAACGAGACAGAAGACCAGACATATATTTATGCTGAGATAGAAACAAACCTTTACTGGATCGGACAGCCTGGACTCCCAAAAAATAATGAAGATCTCCAAGATCTTTCATAGCAAAATGCTGAGCAACAAGCTGAACAAAAGAAGTGACAACAGCGGAAGAATTGTCAGTAACAATGATGTCATCAACATATAGTAATAAATAAATTACATTGTTATTCTGGCGAAAAAATAAATAATGAATTATCAGATTTGCTGCACGTAAAATGATGAGACAGTAGAAACTACTAAACCTGTGAAACCATGCCCGCGGGGCTTGCTTAAGGCCATAAATGGCTTTTCGCAAACGACATAAATGATGAGGAAACAGAGGATGAATAAAACCCCGCGGCTGATGCATATAGACCTCCTCAGTCAGATGACCATGTAAAAATGCATTTTTAACATCTAACTGACGAATAACCCACCCAAAAGAAATAGCTAGAGTAAGAACAATACGAACTGTGGTGGGTTTAATGACCGGACTAAATCCCAAGTATTATTAGAAATAAGAGCATTAAATTCATCCGCCATTGCCTCACGCCATTTTAAGTGTTTATTAGCCTCAGAAAAACAAGTAGGATCAGCTGATAACACAACAATGTAGATATTAAAAATGGTTTTGGGTTTAAAAATGCCCGACTTAGCCCCCGAGTTTGCATTGGGTGTTTATTAGCAAGCTTGTCATGGGATTAAGATTTAAGACGCACCAGATGCTTCAGTTGTGGACTGCTGCAATTCCAGGACAGAGACGGGTGGGGTGGCAGACACTTCAGGCACGGCTGGAGAAGAACTCGGTGGAACAGGGGACGGATTCTGCAGTTGTTCGTTGTAGGGGTCGTGGTCATTGAGTAGCACTGGTGGGTTGTTGACAGGCTCATTTGAACTGGTGGATTGTGGGAAAAGCTGAGTAGGCCGAGTAGGTGCTGAAGGAATTAAAGTTCGATGTGGAAAAGTAGAAATTATGGGAGAAGAACTGGGTGGAGAGGTCTGGGTAGTATTGGTCAGGGTGAAGTTAGTTGACAAATCAGAAGGAGATGAAGATTCATGACCCGTAGAAGAAGACAGAGTGGCATATGGAAAAATATTTTCATGAAAACGAACATGTCGGCTAATGAAAATTTTGCCAGATTTGGGTTCAAAACAACGATATCCTTTAAAACCAGATGCATAGCCAAGAAAAACACACTGGATGGAACGTGGAGAAAGTTTATTAGAGGAAGAGGTTGAAAATTTTGGATAACAAGCACACTCAAAAACACGGAATAAACCTTAATCAGGTGTTTTATTAAAAAAGTTTTTCATATGGTGAAATACCAAAACGAGTAGGAGAGGGAAGTCTGTTAATAATATAAACAGCTGTAAAAATAACATCAACCCAAAAATTGCTAGGAATAGAGGCTGTAATGATCATAGTCCGAGCAAGTTCTAGGAGATGGCGATGTTTACGTTCAGCAACACCATTTTGTTGAGGAGTATAAGGGCAAGATTTTTGAAAATAAACCGTGTTCGGCCAAAAATTGTTGCATATTAAAATTAACAAACTTACCTCCTCCATCACTTTTAAAAACTTTAATCTTAGCATTAAATAAATTTTCAACTAAGACTTTAAAACAACGAAACTGATTAAACACCTCATTTTTAGCACGCAAGGGATAAATCCAGGTAAAACGAGAGAAATCATCAATAAAACACACATAATAGTTAAAACCTAAATTAGACAACACAGGCGATTGGCAAACATCAGAATGAATTAATTGTAATGGTGAAGAAGAATTATGACTAGCATCTGAAAAAGGTAATCGTTGAGATTTACCCAAACGACAAGAAACACAATCATGTTCAAATTTTGAAGAACTAGTAATAAGTTTGCTACTACGCAATTGGCGTAAAACTGTTTCGCCACAATGTCCTAATCTACGGTGCCACACAGGGCCAGAAGTAAAAACAGAAGCCAAAGCTAAAGGTGCGGGAGGGCTGAAGCTGACAGGGTAAAGATGGCCATTATGACGCGCCCGAAGAAGAACTGCCCCCGAAATTTTGTCCTTAACAAAAAGAGTTTTTATCAAAAACCGCAACACAGTTGTTATCAGCACAGAGTATTTGACAAAATACCTTCAGACGACGTCATATGAGCAGAAGCTCCAGAGTCGGGATACCACAAAGCATCATTAGATTCCCCACTGGGAGCAACCAAGGCAAGTGCTGAAGATGAAGAAAAACGGGACAGACATTGCAAAGCAGAATGACCTGTAGAAAAATAAATTTGACACACAACCGGGGGAGGAACTGAACCAAGAATACCCTCAGTTGATGGGAAACCTGCATAATGATAGTGAGAACCGGAAATAGATTTAGCATTAATATTTAAAGTGGACACAACAGATTTAACGGATGGAGCATTCGGAGGTCTTGGATTAGGTGCACCCCCTGCGGCCAAGAACTGAGGCGCCTGTTGACCGTAGCCCTGTTGACCATGGTACGGTGGGGCCTGCTAACCGTAGCCCTGTAGCTGACCGTGGTGCTATCCATAGGCCTGGTGTGGTGGAACCCGGCCTCTGCCACGACCCCCTCTGCCGCAGCCTCCTCTGCCGCGGTAAGCACCTTGAGCAGGCGACTGACCGGCCTGTAACTGTGGAGCAGCAACCTGAGCTCCAAAAGCCGGCTGGAGGTGAGTAGAGTCTTGCTGCCGCTGAAAAAGAATACGTTGCTCGGCCTCCATCAGCCTCGAGTGAAGAATATCTGGCGGAAAATTTTCAGGAAATAGAGAGATGGTGCCCACAATAGACTCATACTCGGATCCCAGGCCATACAATGTGCATTGCAGCAATTCTTTGTTACTCACAGGGTAATTAATTGTAGCTAAAGAATCAGCCAATTTCTTAATTTCAAGCAGATAATGTTCCATGGATTGATTTTCTTTCTTTTTAATCTCATTGAGAGTACGCTTAAGTTCCATAGCTCTAGGTAAACTGGCAGACATAAAACGTTTTTGCAAACGATCCCAAATACCAGATGAATGTTTAATATCATGCACATCAGTTAATACATCACGAGAAAGAGTAGCAAACAACCAAGAACGAATTGTTTGGTCTACTCGAAGCTAATGATAATACTCTGTATTAACGATAGGCTGATTATTAAAATTCATTGTATACATGGGAGGTACCTGAATGGATCCGTCAATAATGCCAAAGAGCCCTTGAGAAACGAGAAAAGATTCGAATTGTGTGCGTCATGTAAGGTAGTCTTCAACAGCCTTCAACTTGATTGTAACAATTTGACTCACATTAGCTATTCCATGGGAAACGGATTGCGCCAATGTAGCCATAGAGGTCCCGAACAGATGGGTGTCGTGCATAGGTCGAGTGATGCCCGGTGACCTAGCCAAAGTTGCCCCAAAAAAGGAGGAAGATGCGCACGAACTTGCCGAAGGAGGAAGTTGCTGCCAGGGAAATTGCTGCGGGAGTTGGCTGAAGAGACTATAGGCACTCGGTGGCGTCCAGAGAGAAGAGGAGAAATCTGGAACTGACGAAAAAATTTCCGGCTGTGGCATGGAAGAAGACATGGCGCCGGTGGACTGCATAGGTGCTGAAACACTGCTCGACGCAGAGATGGAGGAAGCAGGGTCGATTGAGGTGATTGGCATCGTTATCTCTGCGGTGGTTAAGGAATCCATGGAGGACAAAACTTCCGTGACTGGAACGCTTCCTGCGGCAGCCTCCATAGCCATATTAGCGGCGATTGAGAGAAGAGAGAGATAGCCGAGAAAAAAATATTAGCCCTAGGCTCTTGATACCATGTGAAATAATGGGAAAGAGGTACTCCAATAGGAGCCCTGACATGTCTATTTATATTAAATAGTTTAATACATATCAGGAAACAAATATGCCTAATAATGATCTATTAAAAAGTTTTTATTTCTATTATACAAAATAATTAGCGTTTTTTAAAGAAAATTTAATTATCAGATATTAGAAGTAATACATTGATAACATCATATTTATCATCAATTACCCTATTATTATAATTCACATCCAAACTATTATGATAGTATAAGATTCATAATAGTGTTTATCTATTGTAAACACTATTATGAAACTAGACGAAATATAGTTACATAAATATCAATCATATTATAAATCTATATGATAATATAAGGTTTATCTAAAATGAGAAATATTGGTGTATCACACATTTTGTCCGTATCACAGATAATTAGTACTCTTTTACATAATTTAGACGAATTGTTGTGACACCTACTAAATGAAAAAGTCGTATGTACAAAAGACGTGTAGAAATCACATTTTCCATAAAGTTCTAAACTCATTACATTAATAAACAAAAAGAATGTTGAGTGAAAACTGAAAAAGACGCATTGATTAATAATCCTACAATTTCCAACTTCCAGCTCAATCCCTCACGTAACCAGTTGGCGTAACCGCGTACGGCCTTCCATTATTATGTTCACTCATATAAAAACAACTTATAGGAGTACAATATTAATATTATCATTCGGCCATTCGGGTACACATTGTTCTCAATTCTCTATTACTTTGCATCATATCTTATACTCCGTATATTTTTCACTTATATACTTCCTCCGTTCCCTTTTAATTGTAACAGTCAACATTTCACGTTTGCCAACGCACAAGTTTGACAATTAATATTTGTCATTCCTTATTAGTAAAAAATTAAAAAAATTCATATTTTGAAAATTTAGAATGAGTAGAATTTAAGAATATTTTTTTAAAATTCAATTTATAATAAATTAATAAATAAAATATAGTCAAAGTAGAATATGTGAATAGTGTAAAAAGTCTAATGTTGCATTTAAAAAAGAACGGAGGTAGTATTTATTATTATCTACTACTCTGTATCATATATAGTTGTATACTTTTATTCTTAAATTCCATAATGCTGAAGTTAATTTTCTCGGTCCACAAGCCGAGAAGTTTTGTCACTCATGTTTATTTTCATACGAAGTATATTTTTTTTATGTCATGGTTATTTATGGAAAGCATAGTTTCGTCTTCAGTTTATATACAAGGTAGATTCTATGGTACCCAAAAGGTACCGTACCTTTGTCCACATGGAGCAATCAGAATGTTGCAGTTGAATTATTTAAATCTAAATTAAAATTGATATACCTATGTGGACCAATCAAGTGAATGGTAGATACGATACCCCATTTTTTAAATGGGTACCGGAGTTCTCACCTATATACAAATATACAATTGTAGTTTCATGCCGTCTATAGTAGAAAAATGTAAATTTGGTGCTTGAGTTTAGCTCAAATGGATTACAGAGTACACGTGATATGATTAAACCAGATTAACTACCGAGCCAAATAGTCAAACCAATAAAACTTGCCTTCTAGTTAACACTTCCTTTACAGAGTTGCGTTGGAGTAATATACTTGCCTTAGTTGCCTTCATCACTATACCTTAAAGACATGAAAAAGTATATGTATATTATGAAAAATTGAACTATTTAGATAGTATTTAATGTCTTACTTATAAAGGAATTTGAACTCACACACATATAACCAAATATAGTTAGAAACAAATTTAGAGCATTTCGTTTGAGTTGAACGAGTAAAACATTAGAGGCTTAACAACGTTTTGGAGAACAAAGAGATAAGAATTACTCTATTCATCTCGTATGATTTTTCTCATCAACTCCTAAGATGCACTTTTAACTAAGGGTCAATATTACTATAAAGTAGTCCGTATTTTGGTTTTGTTTAAGAATGTTTGACACAATAAAATTATCATTTGAGAATCATAAATAAATACTCCGTAAAATTTACAACAAAGGAGCTCCCTGCATGTTAGTGTCCCTGCAAGGCAAACATCAGAGGAAGGGTCTCAGCACAAAGGTGAATAAAGAGCAAGCATTTACTTATCATTTCGACAAGAGATTGTTCTGAAGACTGAACTCGTGACTAAGGTCACACGGTGACACTGTGACTGGTGCGCCAAGGATCCCTTCTGAGAATAATAGGTGTTGATATAAATTTCTCTACCAAATAAGAAAATGTACTTTATTTACAAACGTCCAAAAAATCAATACAAGAAATTCTTTTAGACAGACGAAGTATTACATTTTCTTTATTGGTGTTTTGTTGAATTCTAAAGATTTCACAAATAAAAATTGAAAATAAAGATGAGATTGAACACAAAAGTAGAAGCGGAAACAAATTAAAAGATGTGTCTCAGTAATAGTAGCTGCACTGCATATTATATATTTATATTATATGTGCACATTACACTTCTGGGAAATTATATCCACGCATTTTATTTTATGCACATATTTTTTGCATGAACAAGTGTATCCAGAATGGCACAACCTGGCAATGACCAATATCAGGCCTCTGCATTTTACTTAATCAAGTCTTCTTAATAGGTACTGCACCTGCACTTCTTTTGTTAAAGGCATGATCCAATCCCCATATAGATCGACAACTAGGCTAGGGTTTATCTTGTATACTGGATCACTATTGTTCCCAGCTAAGCTGATAGGCACATCTTGACTGTATGTTCTTGCTTTCACCTCTACCCTATTTTTTACGGCCTCTTCAACTGTCGGATAGGTCAGCAGTTCCATCAACTTGTTTCTGTCCTGAAGGGAGAATTTTACCAGCATCAGATAATCATCAATACTTGACAGTTCAAAAGCCTAATCACAAGAAGCAACTATAAATAACCATCCAGTTAGCAGATAATTTAGATACTTGACAGTTCGAAAGCCTAATCATCTATGACTTGTTTCAGCCTCACACCAGATCTAAGCAGACCAAACTTAAATACGTAGTATTAAACAAATATGTATATTATGAAATCAAATCGGACCAGACCAAACTTAAGCGAACCAGACTTGACCAAACCAGATTGCACCATTTAAGACAAGTAACTTTCAATCCAAATGTACATGCCCTAAATTAAAATGAAATTACTTGTGCTGTTATGGCAGCATTATACACTTCAGGTAACGCTTGATATTTTGCTTCTGCTACAAATTTCCCATAATGAATTCTCTTCGACAGTGCCTGCATACGAGATTGGTACAATGGGTAAAATGCTAATTTAAAAACTCTGGTTGTCTTTTTTATTTTTTCATTTCCTTCTCTTTTTCTCTGATATCATATTTCTTCCTGAGGCAATGGGAAAGATAAGTGATAAACCTCTTCTAAAATAGTTACATAGAAGGACACCAGCTCAGAACTCCTAGGACATGGTTGGATCGCTGAAAATGCTAGGGACGGAAAAAAAATGTTGCAAGAGTTATTTTTTATGTTTGAATTCACCATGGAAAATGAAAAGAAAAGAAATGTGATTAACATTTTGAAATTGTTTATAATAGTATATGTTTAGAGTTTTTAGTACTTACTTATACAATGCAAGATTATAAATAAAAACGATTTCAAACAAATAATAAAAATAAATTTATTGAGGTTGAACCAATATTTTATTTTTTAACATTTTCTTTCCTTCCATATTTCTCCTTTTTTCTTCTCAACTTTTTTCCTAGCTTTTTCCATTTTTGAAACAGACCCCTGAGGAGATGGAGAGTACATAGACTACAATATACATAGTGTGAACAGCATCATGAAATCACTAATGAAGTCTAGGTAGCATGGGGATCCTAAAATTCGATTCCATAATCTCGAACTGCTTCTTCAGTTCAACTTGCTCAGATTAAGATGATTTTATCACAACGTAGAATTTCACGAGTATTCATACCTGCAGGCAAAGAGTGTCACAAACTGCCGTTGATCCATAATTTCCATCGTTGCCTTTTTTCACTAACCTTGGTAGAATACTTTTGAAGTACATGTCCCATATTTTGTTGTTGATATTTATTGAATTAGCTGCTGGATGCAAAACCTAAAACAATAACTCTGATGAAATACAAGAGAAATACAGTGCAGCAAAGGTGGCATGATAGGAAGTAAAGAGCCACAAAAATCTAATTGCAACATATGAAATTAATCTGGAAGTGGAAGATATAAAGAAGGTGTCAGAAGCGAGCTCTCCAACAGCCTCCTGAATGAAACTCTCATGCAAAAAGGAAGTCTTTGCCCTGCAACCAACTATGACACAACTATGTAAAGCTATTGATTGCCCCACTCTCTAGGAAGTCTTTACTCCTTTATGTAATAAAGGAGTAAGAAACAAACAAAAAATAAATCATAGATTCTAATATTAATCCCTAAATTTGCATTGATTAGATTATCTGGTTCATTTTATCTCTGACAACGAAGCTCATATATGCAGATTTATGTGAAAAAAGAATATTCTTTTACACAAGATTAGCATTTATGGTCTGTTTGTATAGAGTGAACTTAGGTAAACATAGGCTTACCTCCAAACAAACAGACCATTATATTTACGAAAGATTTCGGGAGTGGAAGGGAGAGAGTTATTTTTAAATTTTAAGAAAATAGTACTTGGATTTGCCAACTCTTTTGGGACTAAGGCTTGGATGTTGTTGTAGTACTTGAGCTTGCCAATGTTTTTTAAAAACTAAACTGATAAATTAGTATAAACTGAATGTTCTAGTCATTAATTTATTATTAAACACCATGTAGATACATAGCCTCTTAATTTAGAATTAAAAAGAATCCCCTCACTTCCCCTCCGAAATACCTTCCCAAAAAAGCCCTACAGGATGCAAAAATGTCAAAATTCTGCCAGGGAAGGAGAAAAGTTATTGCTATGAATCGTTAAAACTTCCCCGTACATCAGCAACACAGATAAATGCATTTAAAACTCACCTACAGCAGTTAAACTACCTGTGGGTATTGCAGGGGTGGCAACAATGGTTCTGGCAATTCATCTTGGAAGAAAGGATGCTCATCAGGGCTCATGTACCTTCCAGCCTAAAAATAATTGGAAAAGCATGTACATAGGCGCCCATTTGCCTTCTTTTATAGATGAACAAAATAGAGATACACTTCATAAATACCTTAGCATGAAGCTTTTCAGTTTCTTTAAGAATGTACTCAACCCACGAGCCACGGAAAGCTTCCATTGGAAAAGCATCAGGGTCATATGTGTCAGGGTTGTAACAATACTGAGCTCTCTCCACAAGGCTAAATATAATGCTATCCTCCTGTCGAATTAAAGATCTTCTTATGCCATCTAGGGAATAGATCTCTGTCTCGACCTCTCTACTTGTCTTCTCCATTCTGGAAACAACAAAGTGGAAAGTAAGAAGTTAAAATACTTAAAACCAGAATCATCACTCATTACTTGATACTTACTGCACCAGACACCATAGCACAAAAGCTCTACCCTTAAAAAAATCCGTTTACTAGTAAGTAGAGACCAAGCACCTCTAAATTACCTCCGAACTAGCAAAGGTTGGCATCATGTTAGTCAAGGATTTCCTGTTATAATTTAACATTTTCTTTCACCAACTCATGGCCTTTTACCCAACTTTTGGCAAATCTAAAAATTTAAATCATATACTATCGAGTTTGGTTGATTTTTGTTAAATCCAAATATGAGCTTCAGACAACGATTAAATAATCATTCATACATCTCACTATTTGCCTCCAAATCAGTATACAACAGTTACAATAGAGCTTATCTATATACAACAATTTACAATATAAAGCTTATCTAAGACTCCAAATCAATGACTCCTTGTTACTTACTTTATGACCAAATTTCCTTCATAGCTTAAAAGGAAAATCATTTTCACTCATAATTTAATTAAATATCATAAGTTCATGAACAATATAGAACAGTACATCCCTACATTAAATATTTTTTAACCATCCAAAATATTAAATGATGATATGATACAAGGAAAAGCATTTTCATGAACAATAAAGTACAATACATCCATACATTAAATGTTTCTTAACCATCCAAATATTAAATGATGATATGATATACTAAGAGTCCCGTTTGATGATTCTAAAATCGGATGAATTAGTTGAATCTACTAGAATTTCTGAAATTATTGCTAAAACGGCTAATTTATGAAAAAAATATTTTGAAATATATTCATTAATAGAGATAAAGAAAAAATGATAAACAAGCTAAAATATTTCTCTTCAGACAATTCAAATAAAGAAAAGTAGCTGAAATCTTACTAATTTTGATTATTACCTAGAATTCCGGATGCCCAAATAAAGAGTTTATTGTTTGGGAAAATGTTGGATGATTAGCGGAAATAAGGTCTTTCCATACGGGCTATAAGTGATCATATCAAATTTCATCTGATGTTACTATCAAACTGAATTTTAATGCCGCTGCTCTATACTAATCTTAACCATTAGTGTTTGAGTTTGTGGATCAAAATTTATTCATAAAGTAAAAAAGTTAGTGGCCGCAGCAGCCATCCAAATCCCCTGGCCTGGTTCCAAATTTATTCATCTGATGATCAGCTCCTTTTGGCCAAGAGCAAGTTGCTCTACCCATACAAGAAAATGTAATTGCGATAGCGGTTTATCAGATCATAATCTCAACCGGAATTTTGGAGATGAAGAAATGAAAATTACCCAGTAGATACAGCTTTAATTGAGGGAATCCTATCGTGTCACCCTGTGAATTGAGGAACCGAAAGCTGCAAATCTTTACTCTCAAACTAACAGCTCATTGTTTTAAGGTTATTTTAACATATACCTCATCCTACTTTTGAAATCCTACTTTATAAACTTGAGGTGCTCCATAAACCTCCTTTGAGAATTGAGATGTGATGTACAGTAACCAGTAATGGACTGAAATTTGATGGTGTGGTTTGATCTGATAAACGTCTGCTCTCTGTGTATTTTTAAACTACGAAAGTCTGGTCTGATCTGTTTTGCTTTAGTCTATTCTGTTCTGGTCTAGGACTGAAAACGGTCCAAAAGAAAACATCCTTACTACAATTATGGATGGACCCGGGCCGGGCTGGTTCCGGTTCGGGTCGGGGCCCGGCCGGGCTTTTATTTGGGAATGGTGGAACCGGAACTGGCCCGGGTAGCTGGCGGTTTCGGGCCGGGCCGGTTCCGGTTCAATGTTATTTTTTTTATTTTCTAAATGACCCCCGACCCCTGACCCCCTCACCCCCCCCCCCAAAACACCCAGTCCAACCCGGTAGAAACAAAAAAAAAATGAAAAAACAAAAAAATAATAAATTAGGCCCAAACTGGGCCCGGGCCGGTTCGCATTTTAGGGGGCCCGAGCCCGCACCGGGATTAGAGCGGTCCCGGTTGGCCCGAACCGGCCCCAAGACCGGGTATCGGGACGGGCTGGGCCCAAACAGTACCAGACCGGGCGGCCCGACCCGAATTCTGTTAGAAAATTGATATTAAAAATGCGAGTTTAACCAGATAAAAATCCCGAGTTTAAATCAAATCACCAGACAAACCGCCAAATGCCAGAAAAGAAAATAATAATAATGATTAGAATAAATTAAAATAAATAAAAGTAAGGATAAGAAAACTTATCGCAGGATCGCCCGTTAAAACGGACTGGCCTTGAAGAAAGATAGCCCCCGTATCCCGTATAGCTATTCGGACAGGTCTGGCTAGCTCGCTCCCAGGATAATCCTACACCGTTTCAGGCTCGTAGCTACCTTGTCTGAAACCTTCGACCGTTGCCAAATTTGCCAATTTTAGAGATGAAGATTCAAAAGCGATGATAAACTCTTTTGAATTGAATACGGAAGTCAAGCTTTGGTATAATAAGCTAAAAGACTAAAGAGAAAAGAAAGGCAAAATGGTATTCCTGCTGCTCTTCACTATGTAAGTGGAGGATGGCTTTTTGGGAGTTCAATTATGTTGTGTGCAATGGATTTTTGTTCGAAGGTATACAACTGATGCAGGTCGTGACTTATACCCTCACGTTGGAAATCAGATATGCAAATATAAATTCATATTTAATGAAATTTAATTTTCAGAAGTGGCAACGTTAATCCAATTAAGCACGTCAGTTACAATCCTAATATTTTCGGATGAGTAATTGCTTTGCTTTACTGGTCATGCAGTCCAAAAGTTCCAAATTCAAATTTTCGAATTATTATTCCCATTCGAATGCAATTTGAATTTAATTGTCCAGCTATACTAATTACTTGGTTCGTATACTTGATACATTTCTCTAATAGTTTATACCTGAGCAGGCATACACATATCCCATAATGTATCAAGTCACCTTATATGATACTTAAACAATGTTCCTTATCATATAATAATATTGTTTAGGGACCAAACAATTTTCTCCTTTAATAAACGTAGGACAATAAGTACATCACTTTACAATTTTTACAACTATGGATTCTAATCATAAAATTATAGATATCCAAGTATAAAAGTTGTACTTCGGTGTATAAAACACCACTCCTAACGCATACTTATTTTTATATCATCATATTTACAACAAATTCACCCCTAACTAAAATGACGTTAATAAGAATAAATGGATTTGAATTCAAACTAATGTTCATTTAATACTCTTGTCATTTACCTCACTTTTCTCTTTCTCACTCTTCATTTCCAGTAACACTGTTATCATTCAATCTAGAAAAATAAATAATCACATATGATGGAAAAGATGTTGGGATAAATGGACAATTATTTGAATTCACCCCAGAAGGAGAGCGTGGAAGTGTATGTGAGACAGTGAGAGTAGGGATTCAAAAGTATTAAATGGATTAAATAGACATTAATTTTAATTCACTCCACTTTATTTATTTTAATAACATTGCTAGTTCGGATTTTTTATGAACACTTTCATGATGTTCTATTATCGTAAAATTCCTGAAAACAGAGATTTCACCGCTTATTAATATAAATAGTGTAAGCGAGAACTTATTAATGTAATACTTAATATAAAGTAGAGTATAAATTATACAATGTGAACTTCGGGAATTGGGACCATTCAATTTATTCATCTTCAGAATATTGGTTCATACATTCAAACGAGGCATGTTATTAGTTATGATGAAACTCATTTCAACTGGATTTACAAATACTGAAATACATTAGGCGTTGAAAATAGATGGACTCTTCCGATTTATCATTTTTGTACCATTTGGAAATTGGAAATATGACCTGATTCAAATTGACCGATGCTCTAATATTTAACTATAGTATGACACAAATTTAGATATCGAACATCAAAAGAGGAAAGATGGAGAATTGGAGACAAATATAGCAGGACCGAATAAGTATTTCCTTTCAAAGATTTTTCCCTGAGTTGAATAAGTAAAAAAATGTGGGCTTAGCAGCTTTTGGGAGAACTGGAACAAGAGGAAAAGTTGTTAAATTTTCTTTATTGATGTCTAGATGATTTTTCGAGATTTTGAAACATAAAAGTTGGGTAAAAGTTGAAGATGGAAAACAAATTAGAAGATGTGTATCAACAATGGTAATTGAACAGCAAATTATGATACTTCCACATTACACTTCATCTTTTGGAAATTATCTCCATGCATTTATACATAATAGCTTTTCTGCAACAACCAGCGACTGGAATGGCACAACACGGCAATGACCATGTATTAGGCCTTTGAATTTCACTTAATCAAGTCTTCTTAACAGGTACTGAACCTGCACTTCCTTTGTCAAGGGCATTATCCAATCCCCATATAGATCAGCAACTAAGCTCGGGTTTATCTTGTATACCGGATCACTATTGTTCCCTTGTAAGCTGATAGGCACATCTTGACTGTATGTTCTTGTTTTCACCTCTACCCTATTTTTTATTGTTTCTTCCACTGTCGGATAGGTCAGCAGTTCCATCAGCTTGTTTCTGTCCTGAAGAGAGAATTTTGCCAGCACCAGATAATCATCAATACTTGACACTTGATAGTTCTAAAGCCTAATCACAAGATGTAACTACAAATAACCATCTACATATAAATATAGTTTAGATAAAAAGGACCTAATTCACTTGGACTCACTTCAGTCTGAGACCATGCCAAGCTTTAAAAGACCCAACTAGAATTATATATTACTCCGTAATAAAATAAAATAAAATAAAAAGACATCCAGACTTAAAATAGAAATAATATCAAACCAAACCAAACACACTTAACATACTAGACCAGTTCAGACAAGACCAACCCTATAATTTCAGTCCAAATGAACAAGTCCTAAGAGGAAAGGTAATTACTTGTGCTTTTATGGCAGCATTATACACTTCACGTAACTCCTGATATTTTGCTTCTGCTACAAATTTCCCATAATGAATTCTCTTCGAGAGCGCCTGCATACAAGTTTGGTACAATGGGTAAAACGTTGATTTCAAAACCCTGGATGTCTTTTATTTTTTCGTTTCTTTCTCTTTTTCTGCGATGTCAGAATTTTTTCATGGGTTGATGGGAGAGATTGGTGTTAAACCTTCTTTCATTTAATTACCTAGTAGGTCACCAGCTCAGAAGTCCTAGGCTATGTTTGGATCCCGAAAAATGATAGTGCACGGAAAGAAAATGACAAGGAAACTCATTCTCTTATAGTTTTAGATTTACCTCAAAAATCAAAACAAAATGAAATATGATTAATAATTTAATTATATTCTGAGTAAATAAGTCTAGATTGTTTTTTATTTATATATTCCAAGTAAATAAATAAAAATGAATTCAAGAAGTGTTAAAAGTAGACTTGATGAGATTGATCCAATGTTTTATTTTTCACCATTTTCTTTCCTGCCAAATATCTCCAATATTTTCTTCTTTATTTTCTTTCCTTGGCATTTTATGTGTTCCAAACGGAGGCCATGGAAAGGGAGTGTATATAGGCTACAAAATAGTGTCAAAAAAATGTATCATGATTAATAATGAAGTCTAGAAAGCATGGGGATCCCAAAACATTCAATTTCATAATCTCTAACTGCTTCTTCCGTTTCACTTGTTACGATTAAGATACATTTTCTAACAACATAAAATTTGACGAGCATTCATACCTGGAGGCAAAGAGTGTCACATACTGCTGTTGATCCACAATTACCATCGTCGCCTTTTTTCACTAACCTTGGTAGAATATTTTTAAAGTACATGTCCCATATTTTGTTGTTAATATTGATTGAATTAGCAGCTGGATGCAAAACCTGAAAACAATAAGGCCGATGAAAAACCAGGAAAATACAGAGAAACAAAGGTGGTTGTATGATAGGAAGGAGACATAAAGAAAACTAATATGCAATGTATGAAATAAATAGGCAAATGGAAGATATAACAAGAGTCTCAAAACAGAACTCTCCAGTCTCCAAGAGCTCCCAAATGAAACTTTCCAGCAAAATGGAAGCTCTTGCCCACAACCAACTATGGTGCAGCTATTATATAATGTTATTGATGGCCCAATATCTACAAGATGATTTATTTGTAGTCTAATAAATCATGTAATAAATTTTAAATTAAAGATATATGCTAATAGTAATCCAGAAACTAATGCAGATTAAATTCTCGATTAATTCATTCATTTCCAGTATTGTTACCCTTACTCAGACTCGTATGGAAATGAGTCAGAGCTAACCCAGTCAATATAAAAGTGCTGTTTAGATAATTTTTAGGTTAACTCAGGTGAATGTTGTAAAAATTTGTTTCAATTGAAGTTAAATCAAGTGAACATGTTAAAATTACGTACAAACAGAACTGAACTGTGACTCTGTGAGAACATTTGATCTGGAGGATCTTCAAAGTTGAGTTATTGGGGGTTTCGTAGGTTTTCCAAGGTAAAATTAGGTTATTTGAAGATCTAAGTTGAT